ACATTGATTTACTTTTGTTGCGACGTAGTTTTATTTTGAATTTTTTTTATCTAGAAAAAGTTTTAAGATGGAAGATATCTAATGATAAGTATTAATCTTTCTTTCACTGTTGTTAGATTTGTTGCCCTCCCTTACTACTATTTAGGTGAGGGGAGTTTTTTATTGAGAGGTCCCCAAGCCACCCCTGGAAAGTTATAGGGAGTCGACACTGGGAAACATTTGTGGTGTGTGGACAACGGTATGTCCACTATTCCTCAAAATTTTATCAAGAGCTCTCTCCATAACTGTGGCCTGGTGAGGACAATACAGGTGCCCCTCTTATTTTACTAAGTAGCCTCCATCTACTAACTATGGCCCCTTGTTATTTTACAGGCCTTATCCCTAGTGATGGCCTTGAATAGAGAGGCCAATATCATGCTAGCTAACCCTGTTGCCAAAATGAACACTCAATGGGAGGCCCTGAAAATTCTTCTTATGCCTAGCATGGGTGTCCGCAGGATTTACAGTGGGGGGCATAATTGTAATGACATCCAGGCTTGTTCCCTTTTTGACAGTGTCATGAAAGGGAAGGATCATTATCACATAAACCCAGGGTGAATAGCGATTTCACAACTATGGTGTCAGGAAAACATGTTTGTATTCCTGACACTATAGTGTTCCTTTAAGCAAATTAAAGGAACATACTGGTTACCATAACAACTTCATCTAAATGAAAATGCTATGATGCCAGGAAGCCCCTGGATGCTCTTTCCTTTAAGGGGTAAAACTGCTCTCAAATGGTTTAACCCCAAAGGCTTCCTTCAGCTCCAGGTCGCTCAGTGGTATTCGGCTTCTGAAACGGAGTGTCCGGAAGTGCAGATTGACATCAGGCATGGGTGCTGCAGATTGGCTAGAGTGGTCAGTTGACACTCTAAGCCAATCGCTAGTTCCCGGTTCATAAAAATGTTTAACTTTTTTATGAATGGGGACCTACCGATTGGCTTAGAGTGCCAGCTGACCACTCTAGCCAATCAGCGACACCTCTACCCAGTGGCACTCTGTGCTTTCTGACACTCAGTAAATAAAAGTGAACACATTAACACTGATATTTTTTTTTACCTGGGGAGATGAAAGGTCCAAAGTTTCCCTGCCAGGCCCAGGTACCAAAGCCTTATGATGTGGTGTCCAGAATAAAGTGGAGGGTTCACTTCACTTGTCCTTCCTGATCCAATCTCCTTTTCTTCTCCTTCATTTGACACAGTCTTCTTTTTCTTCTGACACGGTCTTCTCTCCTCCTTGGCTTCTTCTGCCCCTTTACCTTTCTGCTTATTTTCCGTCCTTCTGCTCCTTTCCCTTTCTGATCCTTTTCTGCTCCTTGCAGATCCTTTCTGCTCCTTCTCCTACTTTACCTTTGTGCTCCTTGCTGTCCCTTTCTGCTCCTTGCTACCCTTTTCTGCTCCTTCTCCTACTTTACCTTTGTGCTCCTTGCTGTCCCTTTCTGCTCCTTGCTACCCTTTTCTGCTCCTTCTCCTACTTTACCTTTGTGCTCCTTGCTGTCCCTTTCTGCTCATTTACCTTTGTGCTCCTTCTGTCCATTTCTTCTGCTTGCAGACCCTTCCTGCTCCTTGCTGCCCCTTCCTGTTCCTTGCTGACCCTTCCTGCTCCTTGCTGACTCTTCCTGATGATATAGAGGAAGAAAGTGTCAAGCTGGATATATTAGGGCTAAACCCTTGTGAGAAATAATAATTAAAAAAAAGAAACTAGAAAAATAGCCCAAACTTAGCTCAAACATAACTTTTATTAATATAAATAACAATAAAATTACATCTGAATAGAAGTCTAGACTTAGTCTAACACCAAAGATACATAAAACTAAATATTCAAGTAACTGACTATACATGGTATATACTAATCTAAGCCTAAGGATAAATCATTGTGTGAAACCAGTTCGAGTCCTGGCAACCATGTAACGTGAACTTGAGAAAAAAAAAGAAATATTTAACCACCAATGATCACTTGAATCCAGTGTCAGCAGAAAGTATTGAATTGATCATCAGGGGTGTGCCTTAAAGGACCACTATAGTGCCAGGAAAACATACTCGTTTTCCTGGCACTATAGTGCCCTGAGGGTGCCCCCACCCTCAGGGTCCCCCTCCCGCCCGGCTCTGGAAGGGGGAAAGGGGTAAAAACTTACCTTTTTCCAGCGCTGGGCGGAGAGCTCTCCTCCTCCTCTCCGCCTCCTTTACGCCCCGCCGCTGAATGCGCACGCGCGGCAAGAGCTGCGCGCGCATTCAGCCGGTCTCATAGGAAAGCATTTACAATGCTTTCCTATGGACGCTGGCGTGCTCTCACTGTGAAAATCACAGTGAGAAGCACGCAAGCGCCTCTAGTGGCTGTCAATGAGACAGCTACTAGAGGATTAGGGGGAAGGCTTAACCCATTCATAATTATAGCAGTTTCTCTGAAACTGCTATAATTATGAAAAAATGGGTTAACCCTAGAAGGACCTGGCACCCAGACCACTTCATTAAGCTGAAGTGGTCTGGGTGCCTAGAGTGGTCCTTTAATGGTAGTCTTTCCACTTCCAAGAAGAGGATACAAACTATCTATATACACTGTGAGGCACAGTCTGAGGAAACGCAGGGTCGCTGCCTAGGTGTTCTCTTTGACTTCGACCTCTCCTTCACGCCCCATGTTTAGTCTATCGCCAAATCCTGCTGCTTCCATCTAAAAAACATTGAGCACATCCAACCCTGCCTAACGCCAGATGCGAGTAAGGTGCTGGTCCATTCCATTGACCTTTCTCGCCTTGACTACTGTAATCCGCTTCTCAGTGGTCTTACGTGCTCCCAACTTGCGCCATTACAGTCCATAATGAATGCGGCAGTGAGGCTTATCTTCCTGGCCGCCCTTGCCTCAACCTTCTGTCAGTCCCTACATTGGCTTTCTGTAAGATATAGGGCTCAATCTAAAATTCTGGCTCTTGCTTTCAAATCTCTACATAATGCTGCTCCCACCTATATATTCTCCCTAATACACAAGTAAGTCCCGTCTAGGCCCTTACGCTCTGCTGAAGACTTATGTCTATCTTCTGTCCGTTCTCCCACCTCTGATGCTCGCCTTCAAGACTTCTCGAGGGCTGCACCGTTCCTGTGGAACTCGCTTCCCTCCTCCATTAGATGCTCACCCAGTCTCCATTCCTTCAAAAAAATCATTAAAAACTCACTTCTTCATAAAAGCATATCAATTAAACAGTTAATAGCTCCCGACTGATTCCTCTTCTGCAACTGTCACTAGTCTAATACTATCCTTACCTTTTGTTTCACTTTACCCCACTCCCTCTAGCATGTAAGCTCATTGAGCAGGACCTGCAACCCCTCTGTTCCTGTGTGTCCAACTTGTCTGGTTACAACTACATGTTTGTTCGTCCACCCATTGTAAAGCGCTGCGGAATTTGTTGGCGCTATATAAATAATAACATAATAATGATAATATCCAAGACCTACAAGAAACACACAATATGATAATACTAACAGAAGAAAGAGGCAGGGGACAGTAAGAGATAAAGGAGGAGGGAAACTACAACAAATTTAACTAATAATAGTCCAATAAAAGCTGCTTATCAAAAGCCGCATAGTGCCTTTGAGGGCACCCCTCCTCTGCCCCACACCAGATGTGAAACAACATTTCTTTGTTTTTTTTTTTTAATTTAAATCAGTTTGTTCCTGTTTAAGAAACTTATTATTCCTAATTACTTAGCTTCGTATCTGTGCTGCTGTGCTAATACACCTCTGCTCAGGCATGCCACCCATCAATTGAAAGGGCAAAATCGGGATGGGTGGGCGGAGCTATGAGGGAGCTTCGCCAGTGACAAGTATAATTAAAATAAATAACAAAACCTCAAACCTATGCAAGTACACTTATAAAGACCACAATCACACACAAACATTAAATTGCAGATGCACCCACAAATGAACACTCACAGATGCAAATATACAGACACACAGACATATATATATATATATATATATATATATATATATATATAAAAAACAATCTCACAGTTACACACTCAAGTATGAATACATACAGGTGGATTCACACAGATATATACAAAAATCCATACACAAATTCACACACATACAGACACATATTCACAGCTTTGTGCTTAAAAACACACTCAAATACAAAAAATACAATCATAGATACATATTCACAGCAATAGATGCACTCACAGATACAAACAGACACAGATGCAAACACACACAAATACAGATATACATACAGGCACATTCACAGATACACACATACTGGACACATAATCTCAGTCAAGCAGACACACTCACAGTTGCATAGTTAGGATATATTGAGAGGGAAAATTGTATTTTATAACAAGAAAAAAAGCTCCAAAACCTGGAAAAGTGCTCTAAGCCTTAACAGACAATTTGCATTAAACCAGTGGGGCTCTGTGATATGCTCACACATACACTGCATATTACTTTAGGTTTGATTGCTGCGGATCTCTGTTATGCACTCATATACACTGCTGCAGAGTTCTGTGATTCACTCATAGAATATAATGTAACTCTTTCCATTCCGATTTATATATCCAATTAACCTTCTTACTCCCCATTTTATATATCTACATCCCCCTGTCAGTAAACCCTCTCTCCCTCCAATGTATATGTCCACATTGCCCAGTAAACTCCTTCTCTCCCTCCAATCTAGTTATCTACATTCCTCTGCTCACAAACACGCACTCGCACACACCATGCAATGACACTCACTTCATGCACCTCATTGTTAAACACCTCACAGATGGACTGATTGATATTTAATAATCTCTGCCGCACAGGGTTTCTGAAGGGAGTCGGTGACTACATGGGCAGGGGAGAGGGAATCACTGCAAACTTTTACATAAGTAGTCATCAGCTCCTTCACCAGCACTCATCCATTTCTTTTTTTTTTATTCTTTTTTTTTCTTTGTGCAGAGATTGACAGAACGTTTGACCATGCCACAACAGCAGAGGTAAGAGATATAAACACAGTAGTTATACAGTAGTGACATGGAAATATCAGCACATTTTTAAAATGTTAAGTTATGAACAAGCTATTCGGACGTTGCCATTTGTAGTACACAGCTTATTAAAATCGGTTAGGAAACAATATGTTAGTAGTCCGTTTGCTCGTCTATGTGTATCGATAATTTTTAGCTAAACTCAGTGCTAAGTACTACTCTCATGGAGGTAACTTGGGAGTAAGTTGCATGCTATGTGATGCTCTTATGTAAATAATTGGTTAAACGAGTGTTGGGACGTACTTCAGCGGTTAACAGCGGGAAGCATGAAATATAGCTGTTCGCACACACCTACAGTGAGATAACGTGATCAAGCTTTAATACACACACAAGCTTTAGTCTTATGTGTCAGGTGAGATTATAAGTCCAGGTGTAGATACAAATTCACTTATGGACCTGGTATAACATAATAAGGTAACAAGCTTAACTGACTTACGTGTTTAGATATAATGTGCTACACCAGCACACATATGTTGTCTATCGAGATTCACAGATTGGTACAAAAGTACTGCACCTTATTTTGTGTTGACAACGTAATGGTTCAAGCTATATATACATATATACATTTGGAGACATATGTTGATTGGTGTCGTGTGGATGTCTCAGTGGGGTAGCGTAATGTTTATCAAGTTTAGCTGATGTGTGCGAATGTGTCGCCTATACATAATCTGGGTTCCTGTTGTGCTACAGCAGTAGGCTGTATTGATGCGGTGAAATATGCGGGTATATTATGTATGAGAATTATACACTGCTGCATAGATCTAGTGTATGCCTGTGTGGTTTGAGGGATTCTAGCCAGGAACTGCTGTAGTGTTGTTATTTTAGTGAAGTGAACCCAGCCTAGGTTTGTATCATGCTGTGTCGGCAGTGGTTCACTTATGGGATGTGAGGTGCCGCAAACCTGTTGGTAGGCATGCAGTGTCTACTGTTGTGTGCCTTGTCAAATCAGTAAACGATGTGCTCAAAACTTAAGTTATCAATGAGAAGTAACATGGGGACCATCTCGGTCGCTATCAGTCCCGGTCGGAGAGCCTCTCGTGGCTTCATGTAGTCGCTGTAGCATACGGTTCCCCTGTGTGTCGTCGTGGCGTAAACAGGGCAATTTTGCTTGGGTCCCAGGTATGCATGGGCCTGGTATCGGGTTGTGACTGAGGTTTTAATAAAAGGTCCTGTGGTAGTCCCAAGTTCCTTAGGAGTGTGCTTGCGTCTCGTAGCTCCTGGAGTTGGTGTGTGTTCTCTCCGTGGGTGACCTGGAGCATGCGGGGCAGGCGCCAGCGGTATCCTATGTTGCGCTGTTGGAGCAGTGATGTTAGGGGATTGAATGACCTCCGCCAGGCCATTGTACTGCTGGACAGGTCGCTGTAAAATTCCAATGCCATATTTTCAAAGCAGTAGTTTGGCTTACACCTGATTGCCTTCATGATTGCCATCTTGTCTGCTCCGTGCCTGAATTGGATTATCAGGTCGCTTGATGCCGTTGGTGGGGCTTTGGCTGGTTTGGGGATATGAAAAAGCCCATCCAGGGGTGTTGCTTTGGCCTGCTTGGGTGGTAGTAGGTCTCCCATCATTCTCCGCATTAAGTGCGGCAGCACCGCTTAGGGGACCGCGTCTGGTACCCCCCTGAGTTTCAAATTGTTCCGCCGTAATTAGTCCCTGCAGCCCTCCACTTATCGTGGCAATGTCGGCTTGCAGGGTGTTGTGTAGTTCTGCAAGGAGTCCCTTTAAGGCCGATATAGTAACTGGGGATGTGTCCGGGGTTGTGGGTTTTGTCGGCGGGGGTTTAGCCGGTGTGAGTGAAAGTGTCTCTTCCTCCTCCGAGGTCAGGTCATCCGAGAAATCGTAACAACCACCCGACAGCGCGTCCATCTTGGGCCCGCTCGCGCCATGTGCTTGGCAACACATTTTGCCGATGTTTATCCCCAGGTTAGGTCTGTCCTGTTTGGGCTTTTTCGTTTTGCATCCCATGGTGGTAAGGTGTGTGGGTTTGATGTCTGGGATCTCGGTATAGCGGGAAACAGCCCTTAAAAGTAAGATTTTGTTGGCTTTTGGTTCGGAGCTGCAGTGGCGTGCGTGCACTCATCCATTTCTATTCCTCTCTTAGTGCTGCACATACACACTGCCCGCCTACTCACTCAGGGTTATGATGTGGCTACTAGTTCATGCGCTGCAAAAGCAGCCTAAAACAGCAGCAGCGTCCTTCACACCCTAGCCAGCAGAGCAATCTGCATTCTGGTGGAAGTAAGGAAGCATTGACTCCTCTATTCCTGGTATTACTGTACACTTATGGCCTATGATGTATGTCTGCCTAGCTCAGACTTGGGGCTTTTCATGAGCCCCATGGACTGCAGTCTGGATCAGCCTCCCCCAGCACTCTGCTAAATTCCAACATGTACCCTTTTGTACTGCACACCCCTAAGGCCGGCGTTGACTGCATAGTTGTTCGCTTCCTATCTGGACACCACATATACATCAGATTGTGAGGGTAAAATTAATGATCATGTAGTCTTTCAAATTGCATAGGTCCCAACATCAGCATCCCATGAATTGGAACGCTAGTGTTTGGGGTTAAAAGGGGCAGACTCTCTTGGAACCAATACTTATGTGGCTTCTTTATAGAAATGACAAATGATTTAAAATGGAGATGAATATTTAATACACTACAAGACTAAATATATTTTTTTAGAGTACATATTTCATCTGTTTTATTGAACTAAGAAGTTTGAATGTGAATGGAATGGAAGATGCCCACTGGAACCACCAATGGACTAGAGGGACTAGCCCTATTTAATGGGACTGATGGTAGGGTGGAATTAGGCTGCTTTTTTGGGGAGCATTATTGTTATAATTGCTTTTAATGAATATTGGTCTCTGAGGAAGTCCCAGAAGTGGGGCGAAATGTGTAAGACCATTTCTTTCTTTTTAATTGTATTTTTTATACTACCAATAAATCCCTTTTTAACATATCTACCTGTCGGAGTCCTGCATGGTTCCTAATACTGGGTGATACCTGATCCTGAGAGGGAGACACTACCCCCCCCCCCCCAAGACACCTGGGGGAGGCACCATCAGAGCACATATTACTCCTATTTCTTGTGAGTGCAACCTATAGCAGGGAATATAATATTTACACTACTGTATAACGCTATGTTCTTTTTATTTATTATTTTTTAGGTATATCAGCTGAATCTCACGTATATTGTATATTTTTTTATCTTGGAATAATGTGACTGACTTATAACAATATGTGCAACAACGTGTAATTTAGAACAAGAACAATGTTTATACACTGACTGTTCTAAACACATTTATTGTTGTTTAAAGACACATTACTGTAAGTATTATTACTGTGATGTTCTGTTATACACGGAGATACACCAACAATACAGAATTCCTACAAAAGAGGGACATTATGAAAGAAAAGAGGACAAAGGGATTTGTGCCAAAATGAAGACTGGACTGTCTTATGATGTCCCATATGGACTAAAAATTCAATATACTTTACTAATTTGTGATGTATAATGCATTTACTTAAAATAAGCCTCCCTATTGTGTGCGTGTATATATATATATAGATATATATATATATATATAGATATATATATATATAGAGAGAGAGAGAGAGAGAGAGAGAGACACACACCTGTATGTACACCTGTATGTATATATAACATATTCTTACTTGATGAAAATCCAAATAGTTTTACATGTAATTGGTCAGTGCTTTTAAAGCAGTTAACCCTTGTAATCATGTCTGATTGCAGGTCTTAGCAGTGAATAGGTAGCAATTTATAAGCTTTCTTTTGTTTGGTAAAGACCGGCAACACACAGGTCAGCAATGCTTGCAGGCCATGGAGGGTTAAAAGGGAGTGTTTGTAGCAAGCTTGTTGTCACCAGGGAGAAGAGTGTAAACTATTGGTAGGGAAACAAAACACTAAGCAGGTCTTTGTGAATAGGCATTTTCATTGCACAGATTTTTACGTAGTATGTGCTGTCTGTCGTGGACAGTCACTGAGTGAGAGAAGTTTGTCACACTGAACAAAGAATGACCTGATATCAAGACAGGATATTGGGAGGTCTTCTGTACTTCAGAGGGGTTGGAAGTAAGTATTGAAAGGGGATGAACTATGGGAAAAAAAGTAAAATAAAAAAGTGCTTATAGATCAGGAGTTTACAGTAGCATTGTAGCTCTGAGATATTGTACACAATGTACGGGATATGAAATGAGTACCTTTCTGTACTCATTTTGCATTCTTTTTGTAACCAAATTAAAGAAGAACATTGATTTATTAAACACAAAATTAATTTATACTTGTTCAGCTGTAAGATATAGTTTTGTATAGTCTCATGGAATGTTGGGTGAATGGTGGTAATCAGGTATCAATACTCTACACAGGGGTACTGATTGACAACGGCAACGAGCATAGTTATTGGAATATCACTAAATCTGCGAGTTATTTATTGTGGTGGTGCGGTGTCGATGCAATATTATTTAGAAGGGTTATTAGCATGGTAAAACAAATAGTTCAAATAAGTTCAACACAAACACAGACCAGGTAACAGTCTGCACTGCTTTGCAACATTCAGCCCAATTTATAGACACTGTTGTCCTTTGTGCTTTTATAGGTTTGCACAGATATGGCGCAGACTTTGCGCATGCAATTTAGAACCTGGTAGTAAAGTCCTCAGAGACTGTACATGTGATTCAGGGTTTATTTTCTGTAGAAGCACATTTCTGCAAAAGAATTCTGACTATATTGTGTGTCCATGACTTTTGCCTCAAAATGCATGTTTTTGTCTAAATGTAGCAATGTTGCTATGCATTGAAGACATGGTTGCTAGGGCACGTTTGCAGGGCACAGCTAGGATAATGGCATTCTTGCTGGGCACAGGGGATTCTCTGGTAAACAAAGCAGTCATGCATAAGGCTGCATAGTGCAGGGTCAGTGAGAATAAACACGTGGGTATAAATTGTAAGATATGGCACACTTGCTGATAGAAAAAAAATAAAACTGACAAATGATTCTTGACTTTTCCTACACTGTGAGCTGTAGGAGATTGGACTAGGCTTTACTCAACATGTGTGACTTCCATATTTACCAACATCTGAAATGGTCAAAGATGGACTATTTCGTTGTAGGAGTATGGTTGGGTGTGTGGCCATGGGCGGGGTTGTTTTCAGACATTTTTGGCAACTTACTTATATCAAGATATGCAAATAAAATGTAACTTAGAACAAGACAATGTATGTTTTTTACACAGACTGATTTCTAAACACATTTATTGTAGTTTACTATGAGTATTATTACTGTGGAGCTCTGTGATACCCTCAGAAACAACAACAATATAAAGCTGCTAGAAAAGAGGAAGATTAAAATAGAAAAGTGGGACATTTTTGGGTATAAAATAGGGACTGTCCTTACTAAATAGGGGCACTTAAGAGGTATGGCGCCCTGTGGTAATGGGAAAAGACCATATAGAGGATCTTTTTTGTGGGTAATCTTCATTTACAAGAAGAAATCGAGGTTTTACTTTTTACTGATAATCTATGTTACGGGAAAACTGCATCTATGCTCAGGCCATACTCAACGTTTGCTTGCTCTGAGCTCAATCTGCAATTTTTGCTACAAACTCTAAAGTGGGCTGATTGTGTTTAATGCTGCATTGTTTACAATTATAAACAATTAAAAGTTCACATTGTATTAATAGTATTAATTGCAGTGATGATTATGTTTTAAGGAGCATATTGAAGTAGGAACGGCAGTGATGGGAATCAGGCACGGTTATTAACTGTGGTGAGAATATAAAGTGAATTTCAACTTTAAGATCAAAATAATTGGCCGAATTGGAAAGATTCCCAAGGTTTCCTAAGTTTGGCTACTTTGGCCTTAAATTTGAAATGCACTTGGCATTCTAACTTTATTGAATAACCCTGAGGCAGTTGTAGTAAAGTAATATTAATTAATATTTCAGATATTCTATTTTTATTGAATATAATTTACAAATAGCCAGACTGAATTGTACTATGACTGTTACATAAGACATTCTAAATGGAAATTCACAACTCTCCAAAGTGATTAGCAGGAATAGTCAGAAAGGGTTTTATTTACTAAATTAGTAGCGGGATAGAACTGGCAAGGGACATTCAAATTTTTAAGGTAAAAAAAGTTAGAAGGGTTATTTACTAAAGTGAGACGTGTACGACCAAAATAGCTGCATTGGAAAAATTTCCCAAGTCATCTAATCACTTAGAATTCCTTAAAATTATTACTTCTGTAAATAACTCTGAAAAGAAAATCTCAAATTTTTTTCGGCTCAGATTTTTTGATCTAACATTTGAAGTTAACTTTTGAATTCTACAGCAAAGTGTTCTGAAAAGTGACAGTCAAATTCCATCATTATTTTAATCAGAGGTATTAAAGTGATCCTAAAAGTGACTGTTTAAATTATAGTAAGAAAGTTTGCAAGTTTTCACAGAAATGCTGAATTCAGAAAGGAACAAATTTAAAGTTGCGGGGAAAAAATCTTTTGTATTGTAAAGTGTGGTGAAAAAGGCAATACATCCATTGCCTCATCCATACAAAAAAATCATCATGTTTGATGCTTTTTCATCTCCTGCAAAACTCAAAACAAAATATGCAGCATCTAAAGTGAGCTCTCATTAAACCAGGCAGTGACTGATGACCTTGACGTTCTTAAATAGCACTACTGTGCTTTAATGCTGGATTGAGAACCCTTTGGGTCAAGTGCTGATGATTTTTAAGAGCCTTATAAGCAGTAAACACTATAACAACCATAACACCCAAGTGTCTTGTATCTGGTGGAAGTGGTGGTGAAGAGACACTGGTAGCATGCATTTTAAGCCTAAATGCACCGTGTGTAGACCGTATCTCCAGAAGGATATTGATACTTTAGAGAGAGTTCAGAGAATGGCTACTAAACTGGTTTATGGATTGCAGGATAAAACTTACCAGGAAAGGTTAAAGGATCTTAACATGTATAGCTTGGAGGAAAGACGAGACAGGGGGGATATGATAGAAACATTTAAATACATAAAGGGAATCAACACAGTAAAGGAGGAGACTATATTTAAAAGAAGAAAAACTACCACAACAAGAGGACATAGTCTTAAATTAGGGGACAAAGGTTTAAAAATAATATCAGGAAGTATTACTTTACTGAGAGGGTAGTGGATGCATGGAATAGCCTTCCAGCTGAAGTGGTAGAGGTTAGCACAGTGAGGGAGTTTAAGCATGCGTGGGATAGGCATAAGGCTATCCTAACTATAAGATAAGGCCAGGGACTAATGAAAGTATTTAGAAAATTGGGCAGACTAGATGGGCCGAATGGTTCTTATCTGCCGTCACATGCTCTGTTTCTATGACAACCTCTCAACCCAATCTATCTGTCCATCTTACAAAGCTCTCATCTCCTTTCATTCTCTAATCACAAACTGAATCTTCACTTCTCAGGACTCTTATTATCCACTCCTCTCCTTCTGTTCTCACTAGCAGGTGAAGCTGAATACTGTTATGCAACCTGGGACAGAGAAAGAGGTGGATGCAGAAGGGAGATATGACACACTGCTTACTCTGCCTATACTGGGCCCAGTCCTGGGGCTGCAGCCCATTTTAGCCCCTAGGGCAGTGGTTCCCAATACATTTTTTCCATGGAACCCTTTGACATAGTGTACCAAATCATGGAACCTCCCCAAAAAATGTTCGCCTTGTAGCACTAACCATTTTATGACCAAAGCGAAATGTTTCCTTTTTTTGTCTAATTCTTCTTATATCTGGTTTAGTTGTTGACAATTGTACTTTCATGTCTGCAGCTGCATTAAGTCGGTTTTAATACTACTTTTTTTCGTGTGTGTGTGTGTGTGTGTAGGGGGGCGGAGGGAGACAGGGGTGTACATACACTTCTGTCTGACTCTAAAAAGAAAAAAAAACTATCCTCAGACGCCATATTGGGTGCTATTCTAAAGGGCAGTACAATAAAACAAATAATTCCCCTCCTATGTAAACCCATATTGGGAACAATACTGATTGAAGTAACAAAAATAGCTGAAAGAATGAGAGGTATCCTATAGGCAACTGTCCTGTGTAGATGCACGAAACCAACTCATTGAGTCTAAAATATGTCTAACAGGAGGCAGGAATAAGATCGCGGTCTCACGATCCCTGCTGTTTCTGACTTCAAGGAACCGCAAGGAGCAGCAGCCATAATGAAAATTGCAGCACAACCCCAATCTCTATGTCAGTGTTTCCCAATCTTGGGTTCTGTGGAGAGTTTAGCTCACAAGCAGTGGTTTATAGGTACATCATAGATTTCCAAGAGTTGCATTTGAATTGCCAGTTTTCTACTGTTGAAATACATTCACACCCAGAAAGCTACATCAGGACATCATGCACAGCAGTTTTATGAAGCACAAACAAATAAATCATTGCAGCTGAGGGGACCACACTGAAATTTTATTTTAAAAAAACAATACACCCAGTATGACATCTCTGAAATGAAAAAAGGAGGTTTTTACCAGATAAAATATCTACAAGTACATTAAAGTGTACAACATCCTGAATCATATTCCAAGATAAAATTCAGTTCTCCAAAATTAGCCTTTCCAAAAATCCAGCAATAAGTCTGAAATAAATCTATGCCACTCAACATTTCTTTACCCAATGCTACTACTAGGTGAATAATCTGAGTTACATCAGTGGTTGATAATTTATCATTAGCTTATATGTATAGGCTCTAACTGAGAATGTATACTGGTAACACAGGTCAACTTGGAATAGGTAATATAGACTTGTTCATTTTGGGAGGGTGTGAAAAACCGGTATTGCTGGATCTAAAACCAGTACAGATTATCAATAAAGGCAGAAAGGTAAAACTGAATATGTTTTGTTTGCATGTGGAGTCAGGGCTGGCTGTGGGTCAAGATGGGCCAATTGGACCTAAGTGGCACTTGGAAATGTGTAAGTTTCTAATAATTACATTTAACATTAGTTATCTTAATATATTTTTAATTTTGCTTTAATTCCTGAATCACAAATGAGGTTTGAATTGCATATGTCATTTTGTTAATAAGTGCTTTAGACTTAAGGATCCCACAAAAGCTTGTTTTTACAAAATTCTGTTACTGCAAATAAAATTATATTATATGATAATTTATTATTTGACATCTGCATCTTTGTTTACACTCTTTCAATGCTTTGATTTAATAAAGCAAAACTTTCATAAAATAATCACTTCATTTATTTTTATATGGTCCTACATGTCACAAAACGCCTATTAATTACATCAAAGTATTTTTCTTTGAATGGTTTGCTTCAGCACGTTATTCGCAAAGAACATAGTGGATCTAATGATGTTTTGTAGGTGTACTGTTGTGTAATTAGTTTTGTCAGACAGGAATAAGATATGTTTCAAATTATAGTATTGCAAGCAAATACTATAAAAGAGTATAACAAAAGAAACCATGTGGGGGTTTATTCACTAAACACCAAGTACTGGTGGATTGAAAGCTAAACTGCAAAGTGTAGGCTTAAATAGCTGAATTGGAAAAAATCTCTAACTCCACAATTATCACAGCTTGGATATTTTAGTCTAAAGTTCAAAATTTGCATTTCAATTAAGTAAAATACCTATAATATTTTCTTTTTAAAATTTATTTAGTTGTAATTTTAGAGACTAATGTTCTCTATGCCGCGCAATGTTTAAATGTTTTTTAATTGTATAGTTCTGTCTTTTCAAGCTTCCATTATGTTATTTCATTAAAATAATGATCATTTTATAGGTGCATATGCATGTGGGTTACACATAAATGTCACAATCTGTGTGTACATCTGCCAACCATTTAAAAGTGCATGTCATGTTTTAATGTATTCTTTGTGTCTTGAGAAAAGGAAATAAATGGACATATTTGGCCTCCTAGAGGCCCAAGCCCCATGGCTACCAGCTCGAAACCGGTTCTAATAGCAAAATCACCTGTACTTTTTCTACCTTTCTTGCTTACTCAGCAGATTGTTCAGCAAGAGCCTCAGGGCTTTGTAGAAGTCAGAGATCTATACATTCATGTGTTGGTATTTAATGGTGACATTGTTACCAGCAGAAAAAAAACTCCTGGCTGCAGAAGTAGATGAGGCTTTGTCTTAGATTTCATTTTAAAGGTGTGGAAAATGTACGTACCTCTATATGACTGTGTAATCAGGTAATAAACTTGTAATAACCAAGAGCATGTTTTTGTTCTAGATGCGCCAGTGATGCTGCTTGCCCTTCACCCAATGGAACTCCTTCCCAACCAACCAGATATATTTCGAAATTGTATGCTAACCTAGTGATATTTGAAAGGACAGCGAGGTTGAGTTAATTCTCAGTGATTTAGTTCCCTTCTACCATTTTCTTGCCATTATGTCATCCCACCAGGGAGGAAGTGTCCGCAGTATCCGTACATTTAAGTCCAGTGAACAGTACCTGTATGCCATGAAAGAGGACTTGGCCGAATGGTTAACGGACCTATACAACCTGGATATTAATGTAGATAACTTTGTAGAAGTCCTGGAGACTGGATCGATACTCTGTCAACACGCCAACTATGTTACGCAGGTGGCAAATGAATTTACTGTGGAATACCCCACTCTAGCAGAGAAAATACAGCTGCCAAAATCTGGAGTAAAACTTAATGCTGCAGCCCAACCTGGAACATTCCTGGCCAGAGACAATGTTTCCAATTTTATTCGGTGGTGCCGCATGCAGATGGACATAAAAGGTAGGAATGCATATTTTATTAGTAGGGAATAAATAAGAACATCATAAGTACGTTAGTATATAGTTTCCATCTTTTATTTTACAGGTAGATAATTTTTTTTTTTAAATTCAAGGCAAATAATAGTTGAAGAATAAAAACCAAAGTGTAGATGCCAATGTGATACACTTACATCAATTTTATGAGTTTTCCAAATGGATCAATGATGTTATAACACCTTTCTAAATTATTAATCTGTAAACATTCTGTAGAAAAATCATTTGGAAAGCTTATTAAAACAAGACCTTAGATCTCCATGCCAACAGTCCTGGGTCTAGTGACACAATTCCTGTTTTAGGCTCCTTTACAGCTGTCCAGGGTTTGTTCGCTGGTGTCCTCAGTTAGCCATCACAAGCTGCAGCGTGGACACATGATTCAGGGCTCAACTCATGTTCAGAGCATGTTAGGAGCACTTTGTGCATGGTCAGTCCTTAGTGGGGCTAGCCACTGCGTCTCCATGTCAGTCTGGTCTGCAGTTATATCCATATGACATGCCATTTTTGTGTGTGGAATCTTCCTGGGTGATTGTCATTGTTGTCCCTCTCACCCTCTTGGATCTATAACCATGTTCCACTGCGATATCTCCCAATGCTGGGAGGAATGGCTCACTGTTAAATTAATACGCCATCCGGATATTTTTTTTACAATTTTTTTGCAGGTTACTAAATGTCTCTTGCACTGGACTTAAAAAAAACCCACTATAGTCACGCAGACCACTTCATCTCATTGAAGTGGTCTGAGTGCAGTGTCCCGGTCCTCTAAACCCCACAATGTAAAACATTTCAGTTTTTGAGGGTTAAGTCCTCCTCATACTGACAGCCATGAGATGTGCTTCCATGGCACAGACAGAGTAAAACTTGGTTATGTGATGAGGAAGCACATAGGAAAGCTTTACTCATTTTGAATACATACGCAGCAATCGACACGCATGTGCATTAGATCCCCATGAGGAGCATTGGATTGGACTTTCATGAGAGCCTCCTCCGTGATGTCAGCAGGGGAGGAGAGTTCAGCAGTACAGAGGGAGCCTATTTGGGGGGAGCCTATTTAGAGCTAGGGACAGGGAGCTAGAGCGTTAGGTATAGTGTTATGTGTGCCTTTAAAAGCATTGCTCAATCCTTCATTCATTCATCCATCCCCGTCCCCTTGGCATAATATACATTTCTGTAATTTGTGGCATATATTATGTCATTATGCAGCTGGAAATGATATCATTAAATATATGAATACTTTCATTTTTGTGATCCATATGAACTATTGTAATTTGATTGCCTTATGCACATGAGAAATATTTCATAAAAGCAATCTTTATGATTGCTGAAATGACGTGTGTTATGTATTCAGAACTGCGCTCATTGTTTTTCTGATTATTTTTCTTTTCAGATTAAATGGGTTTGCTAATACTATGCACTGCTAGCTATTGCTTACCTTTTATTACTATGTAAAGTATCCATTTCTATCCATCGCTGATACACTTATATAGAAATTCTGCCATTTAAGTGAAATCATCCATTTCATGAATAGTATTGAATTCACCTAAAATGTAAATCTTTTTAATCAGTCTGTTGCATCAAATGTTTCCCTTTTGTTACCATGTTGTGATCTAATTTCTCACTTTAAGCTATATACAGCTGTATATACAGTACCTTGATGATATCTACTGAGTCCTCCCTTTGATCCTTTCCCTGTGGGTACTCAGTACAACAAAAGACTGTTACTGCCCCAGGGTTATGACTTCATGCACAGTTGATATTTAAATATTCTGGTACACATTGAAATGATCTTAAATATTGGTCCTAGCATAGTTTGAAACATTGAACAGCTGCTATAAACAACAATAAATAAATAACCAAAACAAATCTTTCTAAAACCTAAAGTTAATGTATAGAATCTGTGACTGTGTATAGCTTGGCATTTAAGAGGTCCTAACCCACATCATCAATTGCCACAGCTAAAATATGGTATATATTCATTAAAGGAACACTATAGTGTCAAGAATACGAACATGTATATGGTATCCACAGTATTTATGGATAAACTTTTTAAATTATTTAATATTTTGAAAAATAGTTTATTATTTTGACAATTTAGGGGTATATTGATTTTTTTTATCTTTAATGTATTTTTTATATTTTAATATTTTGGAATTTTAAAAGTTTATAAAAAAAATGTTACATTGAGGTTCAACTTAGAAACTATTAATAACTCATTATTATTATTACTTAATTATTTATATAGCGCCATCAGATTCTGTAGCACTGTACAATGGGTGGACTAACAGACATGTAATTGTAACCAGACAACTGGACGTACAGGAACAGAGAGGTGGAGGGCCTTGCTCAATGAGCTTACATTCTAGAGGGAGAGGGGTATAGTGACACAAAGGGTAAAGTAGGGGTACGAAGTAGGTTGTTAGAAAAGTATTCATTGAGGGCTTAGTAGGTAATTTTTGACATTTGCAGGAGAGGAGTCATGGGGGATAAAAACCTGCTAACAGTTTAATTGATATGCTTTCTTGAAGAAGTGAGTTTTCAATGATTTTTTGAATGAGTGGAGACTGGGTGAAAGTCTTACAGAGAAGGGAAGGGAGTTCCACAGAAGAGGTGCAGCCCTGGAGAAATCTTGGAGGCGAGCATTAGAGGTGGGAGTACAGGTAGAGGATATACGTAGGTCTTTGGCAGAGCGTAGGGGCCTCGATGGGACATACTTGTGTATTAGGGAGGATAGGTAGGTTGGAGCAGCATTATGTAGGGACTTATCAACCTGTTTTAAAATAATAACATCTGTTACTTCCTGGTGTCCTTATAAACTGACTAAATAATTTCTTACGGAAACTACAGTCTAAATACAAAAAATCTGAATAAATCAGTAGCCTTGAATGGTGTAACCAGAAATTACTATTTTCTGCAAAGTAGTTTCTATTGCTTAAAAAAGTATGTATTTATAAGTTGACTAATTATCATGCAGTACTCTATGAGTATGGAGTGAGCCAAGTGTCTTATTGCTATTTGCACCCCATGTTTAGGATAAACGTAATACTGATACTGGGAGATTTATAAAAGTATCACATACACAAGTGAGCCAGATTTCTAATTGAGCAATCATTTAACCGTTAAATTAGCAGGAACATTTCATTTGTTTTCATGGTATTTCCTCCAGTTTAAACTATGCCCCCATTGTTATCAGCAGGGGCGGACTGACCACTCGCGCACATCGGTCATGGACAGAGGGCCTGAGACAGCCAGGGGCCCAGCCGCACAGCCATGCTCCAGCTGGAGAGATCAGAGATCTCTCCAACTGGAACGGCAAATTAAAAAAAAAATCTCCTCTCAATAGGTTGTGGGGCCCCTGATGGAGCACAGATCTCCAGCAACCTATTACTCGACACTTTACTGCCCCCCTCCCTCTCTCAAAATGAGACCTGGCAGCATTATCTCCTCTCTGCTAGGGCTCCTTGCTGTCCCATGCGCACTCTGTGTGATGGGGAGAGGGTGGCTAGGAAGTGACATCACTTCCTGTACTCTCCTCCCACACAGAGCCTTCACAGCCAGCAAGGGGAAGGATCAGCAGCCCGCCACAGGAAGCAGGACAAAGATAGGAAATTAAAAGGGGAATATTGGAAGAGATCACAGGGAGCAGGAGAGAGGGAGGAAAAATAAAGGGGAAGATTGGGAGGAAAAAATAAAAATAATGAAAGCATTAGAAAAATAGTGCCAAATATGAGTGCCATGGGAATAGGAGAACAATGTAAGTAATTGGTCATGGAAGAGATGTAGGGAGGAATCTGAGGGAGAAAATCATGGTAAGAGGATTATACAGAGAGCATGATAAGTGTATGGACACAGCAATGGAAAAGAGACAGATGATTGAAAAGTATGGGGAAAGGAAATAGGGGATGGTGGAAAGATATGGATTGAGGATTGCAGGACTAAGGTATTGTGAAATATGTAATGATGGGGCTATACAGAATATGGGCCAGTGTTTGTTAGTTTGTCTGTGTGTGAGTGTATGTATAGGTCAGAGTGTGTGGGTCAGTGAGTGTGTCAGAATGACAGTGTGTGGGTCAGTGAATGTGCCACAATGACAGTATGTGGGTCAGTGATTGTGTCAGAATGACAGTGTGTCGGTCAGTGGTTGTGTCAGGATGACAGTATTCGAGTCAGTGATTGTATGAGGCAGTGATTGTGTCAGATTGATGGTGTGTGGGTCAGTGGTTGTGGGAGTCAAGGTGCATTTTTTTTACAAGCATTGTTTATATATGCATAATGCACTCAAATTGTAGTGAACAAATATCTGAATCACAGCCTTCTACACACACTACATACAGACAGCACACACACACACACACACACACACACACACATTACATACAGGCAGCACACACACAGTACATACAGGCAGCACACAACACACACAGCCAGCACACACACTGTGACAAAGACTACACTCAGCAAATATGACAAATTTTGTAAATTACCCTAAGTAAATCCAAATTGTAAAATTAAAAAAGTTAGAGAATATTTATAGATCAACTATTTTTGCCTTTTTTGTCCATTCAGATTTAATTTGTAAAAAAAATGAATTTAGTAAATAGCCCAGTCAGTGTCCATGGCTCTAGGCAAGGGCCCCCAATCTTTGTATTTGATATTAGTTCGTTGTCAAGTAGGTTGTCATGACAGTCCAGTATATTGGTCTACTACTTTAGTCCACACCCCTGTATATCAGAAAGTAGACAAAAACAAAGAGTGGAATAGCGCTAAGTCAGAGGAAGGGGAGGCAGCACACCTAAATGGGTAAGTCTCTCCTAAAAACCCAATAAGGACAAACAACAATACAAGACAGTAGACAGCCATTTTGGACTTTTGGACTTGTTTGCTTTTATGCAAATATGATTTTATACCATTTTATTGAGCACGTATTATCTGTTTTACTTCAGTTGTATTATTGAGTATTAAATCACCCCTAACCCCTTGGCACACCCTACTGTCTTGTATTGTTGTACACCCCTGTATATGCAGTCACACACAAATGCTCAATACACAAATGCATTCACACTGACTATAGAAAAAGCACGTCATCCAGACATGCACAGGTCCATTCACGCAGACTCAAGTACAAGCATGCATTGATAAACAGGTTTTCACACTGTACACATCCAAATGAATACCGTATTATATGAGAGTTTTAGTTAACATTTATTTAATGCACATATATTTAGCCTTCAAAGGGCCTGGGATCTAATTTTGCCCGGGGCCCCGAAGGCTTTCAGTCCACTCCTGGTTATCAGTGAAACTTCCATTAATCTCCCCTAATGCTTTCTCTTTCTCGAGATACATAATATTCCATAGATGACATCTGCTCACTTTTTTCACCTCTTAGATGTCCTGATGTTTGAGACAGAAGATCTAGTGTTGCGAAAAAATGAGAAGAACTTCATTCTATGCCTGTTGGAATTGGCTCGCCGAGCTTCTCGTTTTGGCATGAGTGCTCCCATGTTAATACAAATGGAAGAGCAAATAGAGGAAGAGATTCGCGAAGAAATGGACTTGCCTCCAGTGGAGGTCCCAATACCTAAACCCCAAAGGCAACCATGTGACTTTAAAAATCTAGACCAAATGGTGAGTGACCTAAGCAACTGACAATGAAGAGGGGCAATTTCCATGTAATGAGGGATTATTTGCATTAATGGTATCTTCAGTCAAACTTGGTCAACTGTACGTACATGACACAAGTTATGGCCAGTAGACTCTCCTGTTAATAATTACAATTAAACTTTTTACAGCTCTGTTCATGGCTGATTTCTAAAATTGTCCTAATAGAAGTTCTTAAAGTTAAGCATTCACCACAGAAACCAATACATCAACTGAAAATTAAGTTCTGGCTTAATTAATGCTCAGAGAAAGCTAGTAGAACATAGTATGTAGAGCTGATGTAGAGAGAAACTTAACCTCAGGGGTTTTATTCAGGGAGCTCACCACCCTCTTCATATATTTGCAACTGGCTAGCTCATCCACTTACTGCTGTTGGCAGGAATGGTTTATTTCTTTGCAGACGTGAATAAATCGGGGTTCACATGGATGGCTCGGATTGTTCTGAAACCCTATCCATTTACATATTGCTAGAGCCTAAATGACTAACTCCTCCTTCATTCTTATAGCACCCATCTCTGCCATGAAACATGCTACTATGTAGTCCCAGTAGTCCCAGTAAAACTACCACATATATAATATAACAAAATATGTTTCTAAAAATGTTCTAAAAAAAGAAAAATAAATTATGAGCGCTTCAAACTAACTTGAATTTTTACTGTCTACAAAAGTCAGTTTGTTCTTGAGAACAGCCTTTTATAGTATGTTTGAAGTGAGGATTGCAGAACCTCAAAGGTAAAATGTTTAAATGCATTTTATTTGTATGGTGTTTGTAGTGTATTTATCATGCTTTATCATTTTAATATAGTAAATAAATGAGGGTCACCACAAGCCTGGGTTGTCCCATTAAATGAAGTCTTCTGAAAATTGTAAATCAAATTAAGTTACCATATAGGCTGTTTTATATATCGCTGTGATGGTTAATGTAGACTTGCCTTTACTGCAGTTGACAGACCAACATAATCTGTTTACTTGGGTGTCACTGCACCACTCAACTTTGTTACTATTATATCTGAATGAACATGGGAAGGCTGCCGTCAGCTCTATGACACATTTCACTCACATTCAATTTCTTGATGGTTTAAGTCAGATACAGATTGCCGTTTCAGTTTGTATAAATATTACATGTAATGAATGTTTCATCTGCTAGAAATTGTTTTGCTATATCAAGGTAGATTGACTTGTCAATCATAATTGTGCTACAGAAAATCAATTTGAGCGTTTAGAAATCCAGGTGCCTGGCTCTCTGTTTATAGTGTAAATGCTGTATGGATGAAGCATGTGGCTATCTAAGTTATTCACTAACTTCGGAATTGATGTGAATTTAAAGAGAATTTAACATTTTAGACCAGTATAGGCAAATAAAAAAAAAAAACCTTTAGTTCACTTTATCCATTGCATTAATGTATTTATTGTTGGTATAACAGGTGCAGCACTTGGTGAGTCGGTGCACATGTCCTGTGCAATTTTCTATGATTAAAGTGTCTGAAGGAAAATACAAGGTTGGAGAATCAAATACCCTCATTTTTGTTAGGGTGAGTAGTTATAAATCTATACATTTCTACTGGTGTTATATATAAGCATATGTAAGCTTGTTTCTGTTCACAGTAAATTGCTTGCCACTTATTTGCTTTACAAGATGTTGGAGCTGTACAAATATTATTATTATGATCTCTTCCAAGTAAGAATTTTTGATAACTTCCTGTGGTTTAGCACACCGTAAAATGTGAATAACTGCCTGAATGTTTTTTTACTGATTGAGAATATGAAATGCAGCAGCTGTTAGGGGCCAACTCTGGAGCACATCATTGGCCAGGGTGCCAGGGTCACTGGTAAAGCAGTAAGTGGTTTTACACTTCCAATAGATGATAATAGATTCAGAGGATCTGCTTTTTGGGGGAATTTGATTTATTAGGAGAAAGTGTATTGAGCACAAGAGTTACAATGCAGGACTCTGCATTGTAATTATATACAGCAAGACTCTCAGTTCTCCAGCTTTATGAAATAAAGCAGACAAAGAAAACCTTCCATGCAAGTTTCAGCAATAGGTGAACATTTCAGAACCTAATAGGTCAATAATTATTTAATCCAAGAAAATTTAAATGGAAAGAAGAGAGAGGAGAATAGCAGGAAGGGTGTTTCCAATAAACCATCTCATGCTGTAAGGCAGCCTAGGCTCTCCAACAGAGAGAAGTAAGAGCCAAGGTTTATCTAGAAGCATCTGAAAGTCAACTGTTCCGGTAGTGGTTATTTAATACTGAATGAAGAGCACAACCACAGAAATAAAAAAATACTTTATTAGTTGGGTCCAATATACTAGGTATCCCATATTTCATGCCAAAAATACATTAGCAATAATGTCCAAAACAATGCTCAGTACAAAAAAACATACAAGGTATATAGCAATCACATATATTTATAGAAAACAGCAAGAAAATACAACAATGCTTGTGCTCCCCATTCAGTATTATTTGTAGATTGTTTAGGTCCTTGGGGAAATAGGACCTTTGAGTCAGCACCCGGTTTTGGCATTTTGCTTCTGTTGATATATCTGTATGTAATTTAACTAGTGTGCCTACCTTCTTAATTAAATTGCGGTATATGTATCACTATGACTCGATGTGCTAAAAATGAGCTCCTAAGGTTCTCCATTCTAAAAAACCAAAGCCTCAAAGATGATGTATCAGATTTATGCCATATTAGGGGAATTAGGTGCTTGAAAGTGTTTAGTATTCAAATGATCATACATTTTTCTGGTGGATGAGGAATGATGCCAACTCGAACGAAGGGGTCAGATCAGGGAGCCATTTGATTAGTTCAAATATCTATTTCCGGAACAAGGTTATCTGGGGACAGTCCCATCATATGTGGAGAAAAGTGTCAAGAGCATCCTGGCATCACCAGCATCAATTATTCTGAGAGGGAACAAACCTGGATGGGGCCTGTGGGTTTTACACCACAAAGATAGACTCCAATTATTTCGTTGCCAAGGAACAATGGCGCACTAAATAAAAAAATTTTTACACTAGGGGGCCTTGCAGCGGCCAAAAATCTATGGGGTTGAGAAATTGCTAAAGGTTGACATACAGATAAGAGATCCCATGCTCCAGAGGTTTGGCCTCAAGACGCAGTGCCTCAAAGTCTTGCACAAAAAAGCAATGACTTGATTGAAGAAGGTTCATTTTTTATCACGCTCACCCTGCCTAGCCAATACAGTCAATATAGGTGGAAAGTTCAAGCAGTTGAGGTCCTCTATCTCAACTAAAATCCACACCCCCAGATATATAATGGCCGTAGTCAACTACTGAAAGGGCAAGCTCAGATGGACCTGTTCAGCTCTGGGGCCTAATTTGGACAACTCATTTGGAATAATTAATTTTAAACGCTGCCATAATGTTAAAAAGAAATACCTCAGGCATCATGACAAAATAATAAATCATCACATAAACAGCAACTTTATGATGAGTTTTTCCTATCTTAAGACATACATAGTGAAAGCTTCTGATTTCATTCAGGAAGGCTTCAAGGACAAGGACAATGAGCAATGGCAACTGGGGACAACCCCAACATGTGCCATTCTGAATGTGGAAGGGGCATGTAAAAGCTCCATTGGCACAAACTTGTATAATTCATAAATACATTTGTACACCTTGGATCCCAGACCCATGTGCATCTATGTAGCAAAGAGAACATCCCAGTTTACTTGAACGAAGTTGTTCGAGTATGATGCAAAAGAGATAAGGTCATTATTGTGTTATCTCTGGCTTCTCTGCAGGGGATTAACCCAACTTGGTCTTTGTGAACCAGATAAAGGAGAAATTTCTGTTGTCTCATGGCTATTATTTTTGCTAATAATTTAGGGTCGCAGCAATATGGGTCTATAGCTGACAAACAACTTAACGTCCTTGTTCTTTTTTGGAGAATTTGCCCCCCCTCCCCAAATAGAATTGAAAGCCTTTACAAAGTGGGGATATAATATTTGGGCAAAATGCTTATAATATTGTAAGGGGAGACCATCCTGTCCAGGACTCTTGCCCACCCTGCTAAGTTTAACTGCGAGAGTCAACTGCTCTCTAAAATGGGTTCCTGAAGGGTGTCAGCATCTCCCTCTGCTAGTTGCTGGTGAATGAGCTTAGATAAGTGACCCAGGATCCCCAACAATAGCTTGGGAGATGTGAGCGATTCCATGCCACAAGGGCAGCCATAGGGGGCGTAACTGGAACGAATCTGGATGAATTATCTCCTATGGCAGCCCTGAATCATAGACAGCCCCATACACCAATAGAGTGCTATGGGTGAGTGGGTAAGTATTACACTTTGCATCCTATTTAAAGCTGTCGTTGCTCAGCTGTTCTGTGCTCCATCCCTGCTATACCTGTGATACCTGATTTTCTGAAGTTTTCCTGAGCTCAGGCCTGTCTTACCGTTGTTGAACCTTTGCTGCCTGACCTCGCTCTTGCCTTGCCCTTGCTAGATTTGTTTGCTCTGGACTTTTGTTTATTTTTATTTTGCTATGACAAGTCTGCACTTTAGGTTTCATATCACCTAACCTGACAGATCCAGTGGTAAAACCAAAATCTGGACACCCGACCAAAGCTCCTGAATTTCAAACATACCAAAACATCACAAACAATTGTAAAAAAAAACAATTACATATAAAGTACAAATTTAGAGGAGTCATACCCTAAAAATTATCCCTGGAGTCTCCCAATAAGAGAGCCCCCACTCCCAAAAGCTCATAACTTGATGACTGCAGTCCCCCCTAGCATATTGAGGATCTGCTTTCTACGGTGATAGCTCTTGTCATGTATACACTCAAAACTGAATGCATTATTCAGAGGAGACTTCAGAGGCATGTTTTATATCCCAGAATGACTAGTCCCATCCAGCAGAACAGGGAATGGGTGTCATTAAGGCCCATGGATCCCATGAGGTAGGAACCACACAAATATAAGTCAAGACCCCTAATTTTACCCCAAAAAACTGGGACAACTTATTGACTCGAGTATAAGACTAGGGTGGGAAATGTAGCAGCTACTGGTAAATTTCTAAATAAAATTAGATCCCCCAAAAATTGTTTTAATTGAATATTTATTTACAGTGTGTGTATATAATGAATGCAGTATGTGTAGTGTGTTTATATAATGCAGTGTGTGTGTATGAATGCAGTGTGTGTGTATGAATGCAGTGTGTGTGTGTGTGTGTGTGTATGAATACAGTGTGTGTGTATGAATACAGTGTGTGTGTGTATGAATGCAGTGTGTGTGTGTGTGTGTGTGTATGAATGAATGCAGTGTGTGTATGAATGAATGAATGCAGTGTGTGTTTGTATGAATGAATGCAGTGTGTGTGTATGAATGCAGTGTGTGTATATGATGTTGGGGGTGGGCATTTTATTATTTTTTTGAAATTATTATTATTTTTTATATATATATATTATTAATATTTTTATTTTTATTTGATTTTTGTTTTGTATTTTAATATTATTTAAATTTGTATTTGTATTTTTTTTGTCCCCCCTCCCTGCTTGTTAGCTGGCCAGGGAGGGGGGCTCTCGTTCCCTGGTGGTCCAGTGGATGGGCTGTGTAGGAGGGGGCTGGCAGGAAGCTGTAACTTACCTTTCCTGCAGCGCCTGTCAGCTCCCTTTTCTCTCCTGCGTTCCGGTCAGCTCCCCGGTCAGCTCCAGTGTAAGTCAGACCGCAAGACTTACAGTGGAGCTGACAGGGGAGCTGACCGGAACGCAGGAGAGAGAAGGGAGCTGACAGGAGCTGCAGGAAAGGTAAGTTACAGCTCTCTGCCAGCCCCCAACATGACCGCCGGGCTTGTAATGAGCCCGGCGGTCCTGGTCTGTATCATGGCAATGTAAGTTGCCATAATACAGACATTGACTCGAGTACAAGTCGAGTGGGGGTTTTTCAGCACAAAAAATGTGCTGAAAAACTCGACTTATGCTTGAGTATATACGGTATATCTAAACTAATCTTTAAAATGACGTAGATCATCACCTGACATAGGCAAGACAACATTCATGTTAGCTTAAAGGACCACTATAGTGCCAGGAAAACATACTCGTTTTCCTGGCACTATAGTGACCTGAGGGTGCCCCCACCCTCAGGGACCCCCTCCAGCCGGGCTCTGGGGAGAGGAAAGGGGTTAAAACGTACCTTTTTCCAGCGCTGGGCGGGGAGCTCTCCTCCTCCGATCCTCCTCTGTTCCTCCCATTCGGCTGAATGCGCACGCGCGGCAAAAGCTGCGCGCGCATTCAGCCGGTCTCATAGGAAAGCATTTACAATGATTTTCACAGTGAGAATCACGCAAGCGCCTCTAGCGGCTGTCAATGAGACAGCCACTAGAGGAATTGGAGGAAGGATTAACCCATTTATAAACATAGCAGTTTCTCTGAAACTGCTATGTTTATAAAAAAAATGGGTTAACCCTAGCTGGAAAAACAACCAACAATATTGTACCTTATACACCTTAATATATATGCAAAAGATACTTATCAAACGAGGATGAATACAGCCTCCCTCAGATCGCTTCCCAGCTAGCGATCAACTTGACAGCAAAATGTAGAAAAAACAACGAGGGAACCGGCTGATAATCTCTACAAAAGTGAATAGAGAAAATATAGTGTAATACAGTTTACAGTATAGACATTGCGCAAATTGAAATGCACTCACTGGATTTTGGACAAATTGAAGCTTGTAAGGTGCCTTCCCCGATAGTAGGGGGGGCTAGGGAAATCCCCTGGATATTTTCACTCCAACACAGGACTCAGGGTGAAGTTTGAAAAATTGGCTTTAATTCAATATTAAAATAAGTTTAAAAAAGAATAAAATAAATATAAATAAGGTCCTACGCGTTTCGTCCCTTTAACAAAATAGGGACTTCCTCAGGGACCACAATATTAAGAAACAATTCGATACAGTACAATCAAAAAACAGGCTGTTTTTTGATTGTACTGTATCGAATTGTTTCTTAATATTGTGGTCCCTGAGGAAGTCCCTATTTTGTTAAAGGGACGAAACGCGTAGGACCTTATTTATATTTATTTTATTCTTTTTTAAACTTATTTTAATATTGAATTAAAGCCAATTTTTCAAACTTCACCCGGAGTCCTGTGTTGGAGTGAAAATATCCAGGGGATTTCCCTAGCCCCCCCTACTATCGGGGAAGGCACCTTACAAGCTTCAATTTGTCCAAAATCCAGTGAGTGCATTTCAATTTGCGCAATGTCTATACTGTAAACTGTATTACACTATATTTTCTCTATTCACTTTTGTAGAGATTATCAGCCGGTTCCCTCGTTGTTTTTTCTACATTTAACCCTAGCTGGACCTGGCACCCAGACCACTGGCTGAAGTGGTCTGGGTGCCTAGAGTGGTCCTTTAATGGAAACAGTCATGCTGTGACTTATTTAGGTGCTTATATTAGTTCCTTACTCAGAATGGAATTTTGGAAGTGTCAGCATTTTCTTAAAAACCTCAAGTCCATCAAACTATGTCTAGAAACTCAAAAACTCAAACTCACACTTACACTATAAATTTATGTGTGAGATATTTCAACACTGAATAAGGTCAATTTTTTTTTTTTTTTACATAACTTTATTGTGAACACACACACACACACACACACACACATATATGTATATATATATATATATATATATATATATACACATACACATACACATACATATACACACACATATACATTTACACACTGCAAATAATGTTACAACTCCTGCCATCTAGTGACAATTATTGATACTGCAATTATTTGTAATTTATGCTGTTCTAAATCTGTCCTTTCCAGAGGTACAATCATTTTAGTAAACTATGCAAACGCAGTGTACCCAAAGGCTGTGGCATACATATAGGAAGGTATAGAATTGAAACTGGGTACAGAGGCACACATTTCCAGGATACTCTTCAATTCTGTTTCTGGTGGTCCAGAGGAGCAAACAGAAAACCTGGCATACAATGAGCCCTTGCACACCTAGGCATAATATGCTCAAATAGATTATTGTAACTGTAGTTTTCTTATTGTTTTACAGCAAGAAGCCAGAGATCTTTGCTCCCATACATACATATCTGTATAATGCTATTTGTACTGTATGGGACCTTGAGATATGGAGCATCTGGTCAAGGCAATTTATATTTTAGTACTTTTAATATTATAGGCCCTGTTGTGTCCAAGGAAGCAGTATAGTGAAGCAATGTGCCAGCCGAGGGGCATCAATCTCTTGTTTCTTCCACTAGACTATCATTGATAAACCCCTGCTTCCCAAATATACAACATCAGGAACAGTAAGCGAAAGTAGGAGGGATTATGGCTTATCTGTTTTTTGTGTAGAAGATTATAAAGCTGAAGGTAGTACTGTGCTGAATGGTTAGTGGAAAAACATAGAAACATTAAATGGGACGGCAGATAAGAACCATTTGGCCCATCTAGTCTGCCCAATTTTCTAAATACTTTCATTAGTCCCTGGCCTTATCTTATAGTTAGGATAGCCTTATGCCTATCCCACACATGCTTAAACTCCTTTACTGTGTTAACCTCTACCACTTCAGCTGGAAGGCTATTCCATGCATCCACTACTCTCTCAGTATATATACTTCCTGATATTATTTTTAAACCTTTGCCCCCTCTAATTTAAGACTGTCATCTTGTTGTGGTAGTTTTTCTTCTTTTCAATATATTCTCCTCCTTTACTGTGTTGATTCCCTTTATGTATTTAAATATTTCTATCAAATCCCCCAAGTCTCGTCTTTACTCCAAGCTATACATGTTAAGATCCTTTAACCTTTCTTGGTAAGTTTTATCCTGCAATCCAAGAACCAGTTTAGTAGCCCTTCTCTGAACTCTCTCTAAAGTATCAATATCCTTCTGGAGATACGGTCTCCAGTACTGCATACAATACTCCAAGTGAGGTCTCACCAGTGTTCTGTACAATGGCATGAGGACTTCTCTCTTTCTACTGCTAATACCTCTCCGTATACATATAGGAAGGTATAGAATTGAAACTGGGTACAGAGGCACACATTTCCAGGATACTCTTCAATTCTGTTTCTGGTGGTCCAGAGGAGCAAACAGAAAACCTGGCATACAATGAGCCCTTGCACACCTAGGCATAATATGCTCAAATAGATTATTGTAACTGTAGTTTTCTTATTGTTTTACAGCAAGAAGCCAGAGATCTTTGCTCCCATACATACATATCTGTATAATGCTATTTGTACTGTATGGGACCTTGAGATATGGAGCATCTGGTCAAGGCAATTTATATTTTAGTACTTTTAATATTATAGGCCCTGTTGTGTCCAAGGAAGCAGTATAGTGAAGCAATGTGCCAGCCGAGGGGCATCAATCTCTTGTTTCTTCCACTAGACTATCATTGATAAACCCCTGCTTCCCAAATATACAACATCAGGAACAGTAAGCGAAAGTAGGAGGGATTATGGCTTATCTGTTTTTTGTGTAGAAGATTATAAAGCTGAAGGTAGTACTGTGCTGAATGGTTAGTGGAAAAACATAGAAACATTAAATGGGACGGCAGATAAGAACCATTTGGCCCATCTAGTCTGCCCAATTTTCTAAATACTTTCATTAGTCCCTGGCCTTATCTTATAGTTAGGATAGCCTTATGCCTATCCCACACATGCTTAAACTCCTTTACTGTGTTAACCTCTACCACTTCAGCTGGAAGGCTATTCCATGCATCCACTACTCTCTCAGTATATATACTTCCTGATATTATTTTTAAACCTTTGCCCCCTCTAATTTAAGACTGTCATCTTGTTGTGGTAGTTTTTCTTCTTTTCAATATATTCTCCTCCTTTACTGTGTTGATTCCCTTTATGTATTTAAATATTTCTATCAAATCCCCCAAGTCTCGTCTTTACTCCAAGCTATACATGTTAAGATCCTTTAACCTTTCTTGGTAAGTTTTATCCTGCAATCCAAGAACCAGTTTAGTAGCCCTTCTCTGAACTCTCTCTAAAGTATCAATATCCTTCTGGAGATACGGTCTCCAGTACTGCATACAATACTCCAAGTGAGGTCTCACCAGTGTTCTGTACAATGGCATGAGGACTTCTCTCTTTCTACTGCTAATACCTCTCCCTATACAACCAAGCATTCTGCTAGCGTTTCCTGCTGCTCTTTTACATTGTCTGCCTACCTTTAAGTCATCTGAAATAATTACCCCTAAATCTCTTTCCTCAGATGTTGAGGTTAGGACTCTATCAAATATTCTGTACTCTACCCTTGGGTTTTTACATCCAAAATGCATTATCTTGCACTTAGCCACATTAAGTGTTAGCTGCCACAACTCTGACCATTTTTCTAGTTTACCTAAATCATTTCCATTAGGCCTATCCCTCCTGGAACATCAACCCTGTTACATATCTTAGTATCATCAGCAAAAAGACATACCTCACTATCAAGACCTTCTGCAATGTCACTAATAAAAATATTAAAGAAAATGGGTCCAAGTACAGATCCCTGAGGTACCCCACTGGTGACAAGATAATGCTTCGAATATACTCCATTGACTACAACCCTCTGTTGCCTGTCGCTCAGCCACTGCCTTACCCATTCAACAATATTGGAATCCAAACTTTAATATTGCAGTTTATTGATAAGTCTGTACAGAAAGCCGAGTGATATAAGAGTGAGGTTTAAAATGGGAATACAAAAAAATATTGATATAAGTTCAAATGTTTATGAAAAAGCCTGCAGATTAAAAAGAAAATACTTAAATGGTCAGTCTAATGAATATCACTGTATCAAGTTTTTGTAATGTTGCTTAGTAATCTCCTGAGCCCAGTCTTATGTTTGAAAGTGACTAATAATGGCAGCAATAAAAAAAAAATAAAAACATTTCAAAAAGCTTGCGTTACTAGACAAGCTGCCATGGCTGTCACTCTGGCAGCTTGGAACTTTGTGAAAGCCCTCTCCTCTGTGGCCTGAACTGTGGACTTTGAATGCACGTTCTGCAGCTTTTCTGTGCAAAAAAATGAACCAGACTGTGCATAGATTCATAGCAGCTATCATATGACCACTGTCAGTTTATTAAACCGTTCAATCATCCTAAGTGATGATTGGAACTGGCCTTTGGGGATGAACCCATTTATCCCATAAACCCCTGCCAACAGGTGATTATGATATATAATTAGTCCTCATGGACCAGAATTAAAGGCTCCTGATGTTTAGGGTGTTGGTAGGGGCCTACAAGCGATTCCACTAAGCAGTGTGCCGAGGGACACTTTAAAAAGGTATGTAACATTTTACATGTTAAATTTATTAAATATTATGGCAATACGTTTTATTGCATTATCTATATAATGCATAACAAATATATGGCCAAGTTTAAAAGGTAACCTATAGCCACAAAAATAATGCCCCCTCCCCCCCATTGCTATTAAAAAAATACAAATTAACGATTACTTACCTTGTTTCCAATGCAGGATCTCCTCTGTTTCAGCCACCCGCTCTGCCTTCGAAGATATCAGCATGCCTGCTGACTTATTCCACGATCTTCTCCAATTCAGTGCTTTCCATGGAGAAGCAGTGGATTGGAAAAACACCTGCACAGCCATATTCCCGCACTCCATGGCCATGTATCACTCAGTTCTGGAGGAGGAAGCACCTCTAGTGACGACCAGGAAGACAACCACTAGGTTGTTTTTAACACTGCAATGTAAACATTGCAATTTCTACAAAACAGCAATGTTTTACATTGTAGGGATAATATGACAGAACCAATGCACCCAGATACCTTAGCGGTCTTTTAAGTAAAATACTAGAAAACTATGGATTTGTTGGTTTTTTTTTATTGAAAAAGAGCAACATTTATAAATATAACAAACCTAGCATAGTCATATAAATATATATCATTATATAGGTAGACGGCAAAGGTAAAATAATACTTCACCAGCTTACTGTATTCTATACTTGCCCTCCATATTCTATACATAATGTTTTTTTCATAACCATATCAAAGTCTGGCACCATTCCTTTCCATCTCTGTGCCAAATAAAAACGTGAAGCCGTGCATATCTTGTGGCACACGCTCAGACTAGATCTGGTTAGGATGAAACTTAAGGGGAAGCCATTCAATATGGTCAGTTAAAGAAGAATTTAAAAGTTATACTGCAGAGTTAGTCAGGGTTATTCAGTGGGAGTTGTCAGGAATTGATGAGGGAATTAAAAATGTTTAAAAAAAGGCTAAAATAAAACCCAAACAAACTATACCAACCATTTTTCCAGTCTAGCTATTTTGGCTTATATTTCGCAATTCTCAGGACACTTTCTGACAACGCCCAGTTTAATGAAAAACTCTGACTGTCTTGGATTTAGTATGTATCCTAATCATCATTAGAACTTTATTAATCATCAAATATTTCTTTTTAAAATTTTTTTTTTTTTTTTTTAGATTCTTCGTAATCATGTGATGGTTCGTGTAGGAGGAGGCTGGGATACTCTAGAACATTATCTGGACAAGCACGATCCCTGTCGTTGCACATCTCTTTGTATGTAAATCTTATATTATATGTATGTGATATCATTAACTGTTTGTTACTCAAGGTTGTAATGGAATTAATGACTATAGTGTATGTGTGTTTTATTTCTGGTATCAGTAAAATCAATGAGCAGTCATTAAAGTGTGTGTAGAGTTTGCAAATGCAACATGCCAGAATCCCTCACAGCTTTGAGTGTTCTGGTAATCAGAATGTATTTGGTGGCTATTATTGACTATTGAGCTCAAGACTGAATCCTTGCCTGATCCTATAATCTCCATCAATCAAAAGTATGTTTTAATTTACCCATTCATTAAAATAAAAATGAAAAATACCTTTACTGCTGCATTAACTCCCTGAGGTATATAGTATTATCAATTAACCGTATGCTTTATTTGAAAGTAACATTCCAAGCACCATAATCACTACAGTGCACTGTAGTGGTTATGGTGCCATGAGTGCCCTGGTTATAGGTAACTGGGGGGAATGAGGGGATGAATCCTCAACCACCCGAAATCTGGTATAACTTTTAAGATGACCTGTTTCACTGCTTAAGAAAGATACAAAAAACAAAACGTTTAAAGAGTTGCTTATCCTATTCTACTAATAGACTCCCTAGTGACAATAAATAATTTTTCCTCTAAAAAAACTCATTGGTTTAATTTATTCTCCCTAAGTGAGGCTGGCATTATTAGGAGTGTCTGTCACCCTCAGATTTTCTTTGGTCCCTATGCTCAAGCCTGGTTCCTTGTATTATAAGAATAGTTTCCCTTCTTAACTAGGGTCCATCAGTACTGCTCCCTGTGTCCTACTTTCACCTTACCCTTCCTTCACATAATGTATGGTAAAGGCATGAAAGAAAATTGTCCCTGGGCCTTCTATTTACCAAGGGAGGGGCAGATGAATACTACCCCTTAATACTCTCATCGTATCTACTAGCCTACGTGTTTACTTATACTATGCTGTAGAAAGAAGAGTTAGTTAAATAACTGTAATTATGTATGCACGTAGTGGGCCTTAAACCAACCATGAACCCCCCAAATAGCGACAGACACTAAACTTTTGGATATAACAGGCCACAGCATTTATTAAAAGCATACAAATACTGTATAACGCATCCAATTCGTATAGACTGTACATATAAATAACTAAAATGATCATAACTTATAAATAACAGTGCATAATGTCATACAGTGTAATCAAAAAACACTTGCCAATCTAACTCACCCCTTCCTAAAGGCTCTCACCTCCCCCTCGTTATAATAAATTCCTCTCCCCCCTTCCTCTCCGCCGGCTTTTAGCTTGGTGGGGACACGACCATAATGCTCCCCACCAGCCGGCTTTTATCTTGGTGGGGACATGTCAAACCTGGTACTCATTACGGTTTACCATAAGAGACAGAGGAAGTTGAGACCCGCCCATTATCCCCTTACTCATCTACCTGCAACCATCTCCCCCTCTATTTGGCAAGAACATGCCCCCCCCCTATCTATGACAACACCCTAGGGTGGGCGGGAAACTGTTGCTGGTGCGGATCCTAAGTGGCACTGAGGTCAGCTTAATTTGTCACCACCCACTTTCTCACATCCGACACTCCCACACATATCAAACAGCCAATTATGTTTCATCCATTCCCACACTCATACATGTGCCCGCTAAGTTGCGCACTCTCTCTTGGACCTGCACCCAAAGTCAGTCGAGCAGGTGGAGCATGAGCAATATGGCTCACCGATTCCCACACAACCTTAGAGTAATAGAACTAAGGATATATGGCTTCCCATATTCCTGCCCCCATCCATGTCTACTAAAGAGGAAGTGAGCCCCATGGCACATATAGCCAGTGGTAGCCCCTTCCCTATAGGTAGTATTGACTCACTAATGATTCCCTGGAGTAGCAGCTCATTTACTCCATCTCTCCCAGTATCCCAGTGGTAGACCAATCTTCCTCCAGTCCAATACCTATAGCCTGTAGTTGTCCAAATCTCCATCCAATCTCATCCTGTAATCATTAGTAAACCATTCTCCACAAATCCCCCCATCCACATAAATGAAAATGTGTAAGCAAGTAGCATGGCTTGTATACAACTCAAAGAATTCTTTTGGATATATATATCTGTTATGAATGTTGTTGATATATACAGATGTATATTTCACTTAAATTGCTTCCTCTTGACAAAGGTTTTGGATTTTTTATATCCCTTATTTAGCATAAGCAAAGTATCTGGCATGAGGCTAAAAACTAAACTTTGATTTATTGATCCCTTCTATTAATAATTGTTGTGATGATATCACAGCCAGGATTTAATCTTGGTGCTAATATACAGAAGAAGAATATTTTGATCAAAATGAAAAAATCTTTTACAGTAAATTAATTTACCAGACCAAACAACACTCTGAATAAGGAAACCCACAACGTTAATAAAAATTGTCTGTTATAAAATGTAGGATCTGATAAATTGAGTAGTCCAAACACTGTATAACTTGCAGTCCCAGTATATTACAAAATACAGAAAGCATGTAATTAAAGGGACACTTCATCTCATTGAAGTGGTTTGGGTGCAGTGTCTCTTTTGCACTTAGTGCTGCAAGGTTAAACATTGCAGTTCCAGAGAAATGTTTACATTGCAGCACTAAGTCTGCCTCCAGTGGCTGTCTACCTGGATTAAAATTGACCTTTTTCCCCATAGTAAAGCATTGATTCAATGCTTTCCTATGGGGAGTTCTAATGTGCCTGCGGTACGTTGGAGTGTCAGTGCTGGGATCAGGTAAGTAAATAAAGGATTTTTTACCCTTTATTTACACTGATGGGGGCTGTGAGGAAGGGGGGAGGCTTTGTATTTCTGGCACTTATAGTATCCCTTTAACTAATTAAATTGATAATTGAAAGATGCTGGAGAGCAGATGTATTTATTTTTAATATTGATGGCCATGGCTTCTGACAGAATTACAGAATTTCCTTACCAAAGTTTAAAAAGGAGCTATCAGAAGATCCCACTAAGGCCTGAATGGTAAAAGGAAGTATTAAGATGCACTGGGATATGAAAGAGACAGTATAGGCTTGTTAGCATCAGTCACCTCAAGTGACTCTTTGTATGTCCACAATTCTAGTGTTTCATTCCTCAGTCAGTTGGAAGGCTGCCAGCTTTTCGAAGGGGCCTTTCTACTTGGTATAGTATGAGAAACAATCACATCTTGTCATGGTCGGCTGGTTCCTTATTGCTATGTCATTTGTCCCTGGTGCTTGTGACATTCTGTTTGTTACATTCTATTCATCGCTCCCTAAGTTGTGAAACGTCCTTCTCCCTATTTTAGTTTTTCACATCCGTTCGGCTTGTTTTGGATATGATCTTCAGAAACCTTCTAAATATGAAGTTTTTCAATTAATGTCCTATGCATATTTTAGAATTTATTAATTCCCAAAATAGTACTCACTAGGGTATGATATGATGGATTTGATGGAATACCTCTTTAGAATTTGAAAAGACAGTTGTATAATTAAAATAAGCAGAGTACAAATATTCCAAAATTTTTATCTTTCAGTAACATAAAGGGGGTTAGTCATTGAATAAGGAATTGTGAAAAATTTGAAAACCAAATGTGGAAATTTGAAGTCCAAATTAGATTAGATCGACCTACTAGATGACGTTAGATATCGCCGATTAAATGAGTTCAATCTAAAAGTCTGTTAAATTTGTGATATTTGTTTTATTACAACCTGCAAGCTGACCTAGATGTGGAACTGGTTAATACAATTATTTTCCCAGCATGTTTTTTTCTGATAAATCTGAATGCAATTAGCAAGGATTGATTGGTTCTCTTACACACTGGTTCTTTCTAACATCAATAATAAAATAAAAAAAATTAAAAAAATCCCCAATAACACAAGATGAGTCCTGGTTTATGACTTGCCCTCTACCCTTACTACATGTGCATAAGGAATCGAGGGGAACCATACCAGGCAGGGGCTCATGTAGTTATCCCCTACAGCAAGAATGTCAAACTCAAAGGCTAGCACGGGCCACCTAAACAAGGTTTAAGTTTATGTTGGCCGCAAATAAAACAAAATCTTAAATTTTCATAGAAATGTAGGTTTGTTTTGAAAAGTACAGAATAAAAAAAAACAGCATCCCCCTCTACTAAAAATCCAGCCTCTCCCCGTTCTAAATCCCAGCCCCCCTCTCTGTACTAAACCCCAGCCCTTGTTTTAAAAAAACAAAAAACAATATTAGCCAACAAGCAGACTCCACTCACATTGCCGCTGCTGGTATGCAACTCCGGAGTCCAGCCTCTGGTATATTCCCAATAGCGCCATCCACATCCTGTGCCAAACGAATCCTCCTGCTACTCCTTGAAAACCTGTGAAGGTGGAGCACGTTGACGGCATGTCAGAATGTGATGTGGCGTTGCGTGCCTCCGTGCACCTCCAGGTCCTCCACTGTCCAGCCGCGGAGTCTTCCTCCTCCCTCACGTGTGTAGCGTGTAGTTTAGTGATGCCGGCACCTGTGAGTGAGGAGCAGGTAAACTGAGCTCCCTCGCTGCCGCCATGGACCTCTCCTCTTTGGCCGGGTAATTTTGGCAGAGTAGGTACCTGCAATGTGGGGCGAGCAGGTGCCTGCTGTGCCTTAGTAAACATGGCAAACTCGGCATTCGCCAGGCCGCAAATATATTCATTGTGGACCGCGAGTTTGACATGCTTGCCCTACAGGTATCTAATCCCAGTGTGCTGTCAGGTTGAGTGTAAAAAATAAATAGGCAACACACATCAGTTATGTTTTCAGTTCAGCTAATCTAGCCTAAAATTTTAAATCCACTTTAAATTCCCCCAAATTTGCTAATTAGTGAATAACCTTGATTTGTCAACACTTTAACAGTATAGTACAAATGAGGGAGTACATAGGTGACACTTCAACATAATTAGGCTTAGGCTTGTAGCGCCTTCTTCCCCTTTTCCCTTCCTTTCCTTTCCTTTTCTAGCATACTAATATTGAGCATTTCATCATAGCTTAGGTTAAAGAAAGGGATATGCAATTAAACATATTATAAAAGAAGTAGAGAACCCTTTAATGTAGTAGTAGAAGTAGAGAACCCTTTAAGGTAACAATTATAGCATTTTAATAGCTATGTTTTAGAGGTCCTTCTATTAAACCTTCTCCAAACTGCTTTTTATTGAAACATTGTCTTGGAATGCACACTAGACTACAAAATCAAGAGACAGATTTCAGCAAAAATAAGTTTTGTAAAGATGTTATAATATTTCCAGTTTTAACATAAAACGCTCATGGTTATTTGCTAAAGCAGAAGTTGTCAGGAAATGACCAACAATAGCCAAACTAAAGAAATGATCAATTCTCAGCTATTTTTACCTATAATTTGCTATTTCTTGGCCAGCTCTCATTTAGTGAATGACCACGAGTGTTTTTGATACGTTTTCAGAGCTATTGCCCATTCACATGTAATTTATAATGTTTTTCTCTTAACAGCCCACAAACAAGCTTTGAAAATGGGGGGTTCCCAAAGACAAAGCACTCCTATCCATGAGATCAAAACCCATCTATCACCAAGACAAGACAATCCAAACAAATTGCAGACAACTTTGATTGTCAGAAGATCCCAAAGTCCATTGCCACCAGTTGATTGGAGGACCTATACATCTGGAACCAGGCTTTCATCCTCAAGCTCCGTAGAAAGACAAGATAAAACAGCAGGACTGAAAACTCTGTATGGGCAGTCTGATCAAAGGAAGAGTATCTCAACCAGGTAGAACAAAGCTCAGAAAAGTCCAGTGAAATCTATTGCTTTTATTGGAGATGAAACTCCTATAAAAATAGAACAACTGTTAGAAATACAATTACATATTTCTAACAGTTTACTACTAACTATATAGATGCGATCCTCCCAAAAGTATAAAAATAAAGAAGTTGTACTTGCCTTCATTCTTGCCACCAAATAAAGTGGCAGGAATGTTGGCCTCTCGGTGACAAGTAACCTGGGGAGATTGGAGCTATGAGTTGGCCGAATACCTTTGTGTGAGGATGGGAGTTGGCCTTGTAGGACAGAATTACAATTATACTATAATATCGAGTGCACCAATAACCTTTCCCTATCAGTTGATCTATTTCTAGGGAATGTAGAGGAATACAAATGTAATGAATTGATAGTTGGAACGAATATATGTTGCCAACTAGTGTGAGGTTGAGCTTGAGAAAGGAATATCTTGGAGAGGAACCTAAAGACACAATTGGAATGCAAATCAGAATATATCTAGGATGATGTAAGTGCTAAATGAGAATAGGATATCACATGCCTGTAATGTGATTAAGGCTTCAAATGTTAACAACAGGCTGAAAAGTAAGGGTAATAGAAACCTAGATAGTAAGGGAACCTACAAATATGAGAACGAACCTAGGCCAATGAATGTGGATAGGAAACTAACTAATGCATCTAAATATGAGTTCCCTTCCAAGGCAAGGTTGTTTGACATAGTGCAACCAAGTGGTGTACTTTGAATGTAGTATGATAAGGCAATAAATAACCCCCGAGCAGCGGGAAGGCTAACCCATAAAGTACCCAGATGATGGATCCAAAATTAGCACATGGGAGTAAGCCCACTAAGAGACATATGAAGGGTATGTAGTGAAGGCCTAACTATTTACTGGAGCCTTGTGTCTAGGTATTGGAGGTATTGGAGTCAATGCCATGAGAGCCCAACAGCGATACTTGAGTAACAGTTCAGCAGCATGAGGGCAGTATAAGAAATGAAATAGCATGTGTACGAATTGATTGGACATGAAGTGACTAATGGTTGTTGAGTAGAGGGGTAGTTGCAACAAACGTATTACCCTGTAAGAAGGATGATATGTGAAACTAAAGAGACACTATAGGCTTCCAGACCACTTCAGCTCATTGAAGTGGTCTGAGTGCACTGTCCCAAGTCTCTTAACCCTGCAAAACTAATTATTGCAGTTTTTTTTTTTTAAAACTGCAATAATTATATTGGTGGGTTAACTCCACCTCTAGTGGCTGTCTACCAGACAGCCACTAAATGGACTTCTGAGTCATTAGGTGACTTTTGGTCGCCTAACAGTTGCTTGATGTCCTCACACTATGCATGAGGACTTCCAGCGTCACCCGAAACCAATGCTTTCCTATGAGGAACTTCTAATGCGAACGTGGCCATTGCTGTGTATGCGCATTAGGTCTCCCCCGATGGCGGGGGAGGAGCGAAGGAGAACCCGAGCCAGCGCAAAGGGACATCGGCGCTTGACTGAGGTAAGTGACATAAGGTTGTTTTTTTTAACCCCTTCTGCACCATGGTAGGGAGGCAGAGGAAGGGGGAAGCTATAATGCCAGGAACACAACTTTAATACCCAACTGATGGGTCAAATAGTAGGTAGTGGCCAAGTAAGGCTGAGAGAGACTAAACAGTGAGGGAGGAGGGGGCTCGGGGGTGATAAGTATGCCGCCGACTGGTTAACGGAAACTGGGTTTGTGAAGTAGTAGTAAGAAATGAGAAACAAGAGTTTATAAGACAGCAGAGTTTCATACAGCATTACTAATTCTTATGATTGTTAGTATTTGAACAGAAAGGAAATTTGTACAATACCTTAGGACAATATAAAACATACCTGCTGTGACAAATGACCAAAAGGCAGTAAAACAGAACTCAATAACGGGATCAGAGGCCAAGACCTTTAGAATGCAACAGTGTCAGTACAGGCTAGAGACCATCAAGGCCTACAAACTTTACTTAGAAGGAGACAGATTTTTTTGGACATTCCTCTTCATACATTCAGCAAGTCTGTGCTGCAGAGCAGCATCAAAAAATGAATGGTGAAGTAAATTGGTGGACCTGCTTTGTGCACATGACCAACTAGACCCGTGTGAGGCCGTAAGGGCAGGGTAGTGGAATAAGGATAAAAAAACAACATATTAGAGAGACATGTAGTGCTACTATTCCCATGTATACCCCCTAAACCAGTGAACAGAGTTAGATGACATTCTACACCAGGACAAATAATACCATACATACCCATGCCCTAATTTACAGAAAATAACTTTTTACTGAAGCCAAGGCCAAAACTTCTAGCAGACAGTGACAATACATTAGTTCATGACAGTAGTAGAATAAGAAATATGCATGTGTAAAAAAGGGCCTGAATGCAACGTTTAAAATTATAATGAAAACAGGGAATAATTTAGTGACATAACAAGTAAGTTGTGAATAGGTTGATTTAAATTTAGAACATTGTAATTTACATTCCTGTATAGGCCAAATGTGAGAGCAGCAGGAGGCCAAATGTGAGAACTGTTAGTTACATAGCCTCTAAATAAGTAGATTTCACAGCAACACGAGTACAAAATATAGCTGAAATGACTGAATGAGTATGAGTAGTGCAACCATAAAAGTGTGAATTTGGTTGAATGAGGCCTGTGACCCGATTGACCAGGGAGTGTTATGAGAGCCCTTAACAATTGCTGAACATAGCCCTAATTTGGGTCAAATTTATGACAAGGTAGGTCATTTGCAGGCCTCCAGTAAAACTCACAGTCAGTAGATCTAGGAGTCAGACAGAGTAATTATCCCGAAGTGATGAACAAGACGACCTGCGGCAGAGATGGACGAGACAGGGGCGTAAGTGCGGTGTAACTGCTGCAGTTGCAACACAAGGGAACAAGGCTGTGTGAGGGTCACTTGGCTATATCAGATTGTCATGGGTGGTGGTACGGACCCCTGAGTGTCTGATGAGAAGTGGGAGTCTTCAGCGTGGAAGTGGATTACAGGGCAACCGTACGCCCCCTGGTGTTGAGCACCAGCGTTTGAGCGGCCACAAACCAAGACGGTGTTGAGCACCAGCGTTTGTGCGGCCACAAACCAAGACCCTGTTGCAGCTTAGCGGATCCCAGGAACTAGGAGCTTGATATGCAGACCTCCCAGGAACTGGATAGGGGGGCTCTGCAGCAGACATGTATCCAGTACAGAAACAAGGCAAGGCTAGAACAGGCACCAAACATGAAAACAAGACAGAACTAATAGAACCCAGAACCAGAGCAGGACAGAAAGCGGAACTCAGAACATGTACACAAGACATGAGGAAAACAAGAACAAGGCAGGACAGGACTGTACATGAACTGGGATTACAAAATAAAACAAGACAAGATATAATAGGCAAAACAAGAGGAGACATAACTAAGCACTATATATGAAAATCATGGGGATTTAGTTACGTTATATGATCATACATTGCATAAGCCTGCCACAACGCCAATGTACCCCAGTTTCGGCAGGTCCTACATTGCCCAATGTATGCTAAAACAACCAAAGAAGACATATATAGCACTTACCTGCAAGAAGGGGCAGAAGCCTTGAGCAGCTGCCTGCAGGACACTGAAACAAAAGGAATGATGGAAAACAAACGGGTGTGGCAACATAAAACAAACATTTAAAGGAAACCTGGAGACTGGGAATTCCAGGGACGGATTACAGGGATGAACCCAGAAAAACCCAGCATAAAGAAAACCAGACATAGAATAGAAAACCAAAAAAACAAGAAAAACTAAACAAGAATTGTAAAAAGAGTACTGGATATCAGAAACCAAAGCCAGACATCTCCGCAGAACATGGCATGATGTGACACAGATGAAGACAGGGGTCTGCAGGAGCCGGATGTGTAGTTGAATGTAAGGGGCATTCAGACCGTAAAGCAGCAGGAGTGTGGACAGTATACTGTGGTCGAACGTTGCTTGAGCGGAAGACCCTGGAGGGAGGGGTGGTTGGACGCTGGTGGAGCGGAAGTAGAAGGGAGCTCGGGCAGGATGTTGGAGGAGAGAGTCAAGTCAATAAGGTTGAAGCTCCCATGAGTCGGCTTCCAAGCAACTGGATGGAAAGCAAGAGGTGAGTGGACCGGCAGGTGGTTTTAATGTTGTGGCTTAGAGATTTTCAAACATCGTCCCACTGAACCAAGATGCATGTATATAGCTAAAGGTTCCTGTCATATACTAAAGGTAGGGATGAGGTTTTCTCTTTTCATTTTTTACATATACTTCATTTAAAACAGAATCTATTTTCTTTTAGAACTTGATGAAAGGATCATTATAGTAAAAATTAGTGTTAAGGTGCCAGTTTCCCTTTAAAGGTTTTGTGGGTATTTGATAACAGACAAATTACAATGAGCTAATCTTTTCTCATGTGTGGTCAATCCAGATTTGAGTTTCCATATATAACTTTTTCTTTAAGTCAATAATGGTGATTTTATTTTGGGATCTTAAATTTCAAGTTTACACTCACATGTTGAAGGAAATTCAGATGACAACATTAGAAACAATTTGTCTGCTTAAATCCATTCAAGTATTGAGGTCATTATGAACCATTTTAAAAGGAAATACAGAGTTTGACTATTTAGAAATGCTGCCAACTTGACATAGTAGCCGCTACAAATTAATTCTTCAAAACACTATACAGTCTATTACATCTAGTGCTTTGTTCTGAAATCATTTGGAAAGATAGAGTTGTTGGAGATAAGGGTCAGAAATGCATGTGCCCTTTAATTACCTAAAAAGAGGAAGACTCACCTGCTTATACTGACCTAATTATTAAAAGATTAAAAGGTTTAACTTAATATACAGCTTCATCAGTCATATTTAGTTCACCCTTTTTTTCCCAATCTGTAATAATTTTATCTAGCATTCAGTTTTATTATTTGGAAGGATTAAGGGATAATCCCTCATACAGCTTTAAATATTCTATTACATTACAATCAGATGACGCACAACCTTTAATGCAGCATATTAGGCATTTTTGCAAATGAGAAACGCTGGTAGAACAATCCGTGTTTATGACACAGATTGATATGATTATCAATAAGTGAGTGAGGTTTGTGTATGATTCCAGAATGTCAGATAATGTAATGCAGTTAGGGATTACACATGTTAAAGATCTACCTGGTTTGTAGAGTTGTATTAAGTCATTATCAACACCTTAATAAAGGTTCTCTTTGAGCCAATACGTGGCTGTATTCTATCCAATAAAATTTGCCTCGGACCTCCTACAAGAGCCCAGTTAAATCTTTTGTGCTATTAATGCTGGGAGCGTGGTTGCCTCTTGGCTTCATTCTATCTTTAAAGTGTGCGTACCAAAATCTCTCACCCTATACATGGTTTATAACACTATCAATATTTTCTATATGATCTAAGCAGAATTATCACAGTGTATTCTGTTAATAGAGAACTTTGTGGAAATAAGAGCATCAGTGCATTCAAGCTTTGGTAATTATGTTTAAATTTCGCAAAAAAAAAGCAAATGCCCCAAATCAACCTTGAACAATGAATATAGGCTGACATAACAGCACAGTTAATCGACTTTTGAAAAATAAAAGTAGCACCCAGTAATAGTGTAGTAATCTTCTATGTTGATCACTTGGTGGCAGTGTGCTCAAAAATAGAAGCAATTTGCTATGTTGATCACTTACTGGCAGTGTACCCAGATTAAGAGGCATGTTTATGCATATTTACAAGACGTAAACTAGAAGCTGTAATTACTACAACTTCTATTTTGCTCAATTGTGTGTATGCATAAAATTACCTCTTTCTTTGAGTACAATCCCACTAAGTGATCAACACAGAAAATGGCTTCTATTTTGAGCTCACTGCCACCAAGTGATCAACATGGAAACATTTATACACTATTACTGGGTGCAACTTTTATTTCGCAAAACCGATTATGCTTTAAAAATATTTTTCTCAGCCTTTAAAGTACTGCTGCCTGTCACTCCTGTGTTTGCCAGGGCTGTATTTTTGTATTCTTTGTATATTTACAACAGTATACTTAACAACACTTTGAAATGCACTTGAATTTATAACTCCTGTGATTCATGAGGCTGTGATTCATGAGGACATCCATACTACATGTCCAAACCAACACCATTAGGACACTATAAATGTATATCCATTGTAACTCTACGAGGAAACTGTATCCACCAACAACTTTAATAGTATAATGGTGAAGTTGCTATTGCAACACCATCAAGTTTATATTTTTCTGGTGGAATTGCTATGCACCACCCACTACTTTTTATAGAGTTCTAAGGGTGGACCTGACTCCGCCAGGGCAGGGAAGTTAGAAACAAAGAAGCAAATTCACTCATGGCTGTTCACAACTTGTGAAGCCAGCTTTTATCTCACCACACCAGGGGTAGGCAACCTTCTCCAATCCAGATTTTGTGGACTACATCTCTTATAATCCTTTTCCAGCATTATAGCTGTAAAAACATTACGGGAGATGTAGTTCACAACATCTGGAGTGCCAAAGATTTCCTACCCTTGAACCACACTGTTCTCATGGTGTACTGTGTCAGTTAATATACTGGCAGTTTCTGGTTGGGAGTGAGTGTATGTTAGGAGCTACCCATTCCGACGCTGTCTGTTTCTGGGTGACTTGACAGGATATAGCACTTCCTGAACTTTCTGCTGGTCAAATGTCCTAATTTGTTTTATACCCCACCTCCTATAGACTGTAAGCTCGTTTGAGCAGGGTCCTCTTCAACCTATCGTTTCTTTAAGTTTTCTTGTAATTGTCCTATTTATAGTTAAATCTCCCCTCTCATAATATTGTAAAGTGCTATGGAATCTTTTGGCACTATATAAATGTCAATAATAATAATAATAATAAGTACCCTAGTGGATGGAAAGCAGACAGAGAGCCAGGGAGCAGGGAGGAAGAAATGATATTGGGATCCCACCACTAGTAAGGGTGACCCCTGGTTGTAGCTGCTATGGCAATACATTCCAAACCCAGTCTTTTTTCTTAACTAAGAATTTGCAAAACTATAAATTCTTGGGGGATTGGTGTTGAGAAAGCCTGTCTTCCACAAAGAATGGAAATATTCCTTTAGTAATTTAATCTCAATCCACAGTCACAATGATTATATTATTTAAATACAATACTGCACATAAAGGGATATTAGCCTTGCCATATGGTGTTCCCAATGATATTGTTTCTTATCTATCACAGGGTACAAGAACAAGCATCTACTGTTTCCAGGAGACAAGTATTTACAGAGGATGGTCAACCTACAACTCCACATCTCTCTCCACGTTATGGACAAGACAGGAATCGCCTATCTACATCTTCTTTGGTATCTCAGCTAACTGGAAGTGAAGATGAAGTATTTGGTACTTCAGAAATGACTTCTGTCACTCAGCAGAGTAGACAAGCAGGAAAGACTCAGTCTCGAAGTCTGAAGGAACCACTCATGAAGGAGCATCACATAAATCATTCACATTTATCACATAGTAAAATTCGGTCTGCAACAGAAACGGACAACATCCAGCAGATGTCAAAGACTGCTTCCCAACCCACTAATGCTCAGGAAACAAGACCTAAAACTCCCTCTCGCTTCATACGGCCTCCTACCCCATCCAAGCAAATCACTCAAAACAAAGGGATAGACCATAAACTTTCAATACATTCTGATAATACTGCACGGCCTCTTTCTCCAACTAAACAAGTGAACTATTCAACAAAACAAGAATTAAATTCAAGGAGTGGCATTTCATCCATTCCGGCTCCCAACAGGCCTCCTACACCGAGCAGAAATTACCAAATTGAATTACAAAACAGAGTCAGAAGCAAGTCTGTGGGAAATGAACTCATAAAACCTCACGAGAGACTTAGTGCAACAAGGAGTATATCTACAAATGATGCACAACACAAAAATGTACGAAGTGGTCGTTCAACTCCTCATATCCAACATAACAAGAATGGAATGACACAAATAAATGAAAGGGACTCTAGCCATACTCCAGGGATGCAATTGGATAGCGATTCAAAAACCCCAGGTAACTCAGGTAGTGTGGAAAGAGATAGCATGTATACACCATTACCAATGGATCCAGAGCAAGAGAAAGCATTGTATCGGAGCTTGGAAGATGAGATTTTATCAAACATCAAAGTTTTAGAAGGTGATTCTGATGAAAACAACAACTTAGAAAGCAGGCAAAGAGTTGTTACGCCAGAGTGTAGTGTATCTAGTGATACAGCGGTTCATGACTTTAACATGAAAGGGAAACCTGCATCCTCTGTGCCTTCGATTACAAATTCGCTTCAGACACCAAATGGAGAAACGCAAGTTCCCAGAAGTGGGGTATATATAAACACAAAATGGCAATCAGGTGCAAGCTTTGATGATGTGATCTCAGAACTTGCCTCAGGGCGCCTGAAGCTTAATAAAGTCGATGTAGAAGATTGGATTTCCAAGATACCACCAAAAGGAACAGTCTGTGATTTTACAGAAAGAGATTTTCCTTCCTTGCAAGTGAAACTTGAGAAAAAGCAATCAATATCACAAAGAGGTCTTGTTAAAAAGAAATCTTTTGCTGAATCAAAGAGAATCAAACCAAAGCAACTACCTTCTCAAAGAGCTCGGCAAATGGCAATGGAAGCAAAGAAGAAAACATTAGAAACTGTGTCAACACACACATCATCTGCTAACCAGGCTTCATCAGTTGTATGTCCTAATGATGAACCTGGCACTGAAGTGAAGACATCACAAGTAGGAAAGCCAAAAAGATCCCTGAAGAAGCCAGAAAGAGTCCCATCTATTTATAAACTCAAGTTGCGACCAAAAATCCGACCTCGACAAGATAACAGACCTGAAAAAAAGCCATCCAGAATTCCTACTCCTATTACATATAGACAACTGCACAGCAGAGCAAAATCGAAAGAACCAGGAAGCTCACAAAACAAAAATACAGCAGTAGCCAGGACTCAGAATGTCTCACAGGCCACAACAGTCAGTGCAGAAGACCCAGATTCTGATGAAGGAGCTTGGTCTTCAGAACTTTCTGCTTCCACAAAGGTTACAAATTCAAATAATAATCAAAGTAATGATGTACAGAATCCAGATAAAACAGAGGAGGACGAAGAATCATGGGTCTAGGAAATATTGGTATGCTTTAAGTAGTATATAACATCATCTAATTTAATCCATTGTGATCTTTGGCAAAAGCCTTTGCCATACTATGCCTCAGTGCTTTAAGGTTTGTAAATACAGTATAATCAATATAGATGTTAAAATGGGCTATATGAATGTTTTTACAGTAAAGAGAACATTGCGTTATAAGACATCACAAGCACAGTTACTTAGTATTATGTATGTGAGCCATTATTTAGTCTAATTGCAAACTTTTGATCAAAAATAAAATGTTTAAAATATTACGACACAACTGATCACCTTTAGTTGTCAAGGGAAACATACATAATTAAGAGCATTTTAGCACTCTGGCAGGTTAATGGCCCTTATTTATGGAGATTTTTTATATATATAAAAAGCTGGTTTCTAATGTTTAGTATAATCTAGGAGAAGTCAATGCAAATATTTCTATTGCACATTTTTTTAAAAATATGCAGTTCACTGGATAGGTTTTCACTCCCACTGATGTTTCTACATGTTGTAGCCAGGAAATTAAATGGTACAATAAAATCACTAAATACCAAATTGTAATGAACTGTAACTCATACAGTCAGGAAGTTTTCTTCTGCTCCCGTTAGCTCGACAGAGCATGCCTGCTTTCCCTCCTTCTCAATGAGCAGTACTACAGCTCATTGAGAAGCATGGAAAGCCACGAGCATGTGCGACTGCATGTGTGTCTCAAGCACAGAGGTTTCTCAGTGATAAGCCTGTGATTGGATTATTCCCAAGCACAAACTGTGGCTGGGGAAGAGAGATGGATTGCAAAGGCTACAGACAGCAAGTCTGCAGCTAGGCAGAGAAAAATGCATGCATGTTTTTTTTTTGTGTTCGTAGGTATCTCTACTGTATAATAAAAATAAAAGCAACAGAGTGTTCCTTTAATTCAGTAATGTGTTTTGAAGAATGTCACTGTTTAACTCCTCTTATTGTATGTCTCTATGGTTTACTATCTTCCTCATTCTCGCATCTCCCTCCCTATACTCAACCCGCATCTCTGTCTTTCCTCTTTTATCAACCCCCATCGGCGTGTCACCTACTCTGGAAAACTGCATCCATGTCTCTTCTCCTGTTCAAAACTCCAATCTGTCTCACCTCCTGTCCAAACCCCCAATCTGTGTGTCACCTTCTGTCCAAACCCCCAATCTGTCTCACCTCCTGTGCAAACCTCCATCCTGTCCAAACCCGCAATCTGTGTCACCTCCTGTCCAAACCCGCAATCTGTGTGTCACCTCCTGTCCAAACCCGCTATCTGTGTATCTCCTCCTGTCCAAACTTACAATCTGTGTCTCTCCTTCAGGGCAAACCCCATCTATCTCTTCTCTCCTGTTAACCCACAAAATATATGTCTCTCCCTAGTTCCAATTATTTTAGTCTTCCTGTCCTGTCATATGGCTATCTTAGCTATAAGATAAGGCCAGGGACTAATGAAAGAATTTATAAAATTGGGCAGACTAGATAGGCCAAATGGCTCTTATCTGCCATCACATTCAATGTTTCTATGTCTAAATCCCCATCTTTTAATTTTTTTATTTATATTGCCATTTATATAGCGCCAACAGATTCCGTAGCGCTTTACAATATTTTGAGAGGGGGGATGTAACAATAAATAGGACAATTACAAGAAAACTTACAGGAACAATAGGTTGAAGAGGACCCTGCTCAAACGAGCTTACAGACTATAGGAGGTAGGGTATTAGAAACATTAGGACATGAAATATCAAGTAGGAGTGAAGCAGAGCTGGAGGAGAGAGCAAAGCACTGTCCCATAGGAGAGAGCAGGAGACAGGTATGTAAGGTAGAGATTACTCTGGGAGGCCATAAGCTTTCCTGAAGAGATGGGTTTTAAGGCCCTTCTTAAATGATTGAAGACTAGGGGAGAGTCTGATGGCAGTAGGCAAGCTATTCCATAGGAGAGGAGCCGCCCGCGTATCTCCTTGTCTCCCACATCCCTCACTTACCTGCAGGCTGGGGAAACTGCTGGCGAACCTGCTCTGTGCAGCTCCCCCATGTATTTAGTCAGCAGAGAGCAGCAGGAAGATGATGTAACTTCCTAGCCCTCCCTCTCTCCACACACAGCGAACCCTAATGGCGGGCGCCAGTATTGCAAATCATAATCTCAGTCTGGGATTATGAGAAAACTACCTAAAAAAACTACCGGCATTTGTATTGGGACTATTGGTGAACAGAAATATTTACATATAGTCTCACCTGGATTGAGGTCTCACCTTAAAGTCATTCCACAGTAGCCTGTGTGTTTAATGTCATTATCCTCCTAAAATGTGAAGATTCTGCACTTGTCTCTTGTTTTGCAGATAAAAACAAGCTTCCCTCCACAGTTGCCCTATGTTTGACTCTATCCATCTAAAATATAAGCCATTTTAATACCAGTGCTAAGAACTGTGAATACATCCAGTGATTACTTATGCAATATGTATATGGGGTTATTCGCTAAAGTGAGCATTGTTGGAAAATATCCCAACTGAAAAACGTCCGTAATGGCTACTTTGTGTTAAATATGAATTCACTCTGAATTCCCAACAATTCTCACTGTAGTGAATATTCTTAACAGTATTTATATCTTTTTTATATCATTTTTGTGCTCATGTGTCATTGACCTGGTGTGTATTGTGTTCATATTTTATATTATTTTTAAAGTGTAAAGACAAACATATTATCAAATTTCACTTTATGTGTGTTACGGCGTTACAAAAAAAGAATGATTTGAAAACACTGTTCTAACAGTTTCATTAGATAAACTGCTACCTATATATAAAAACAAGATAACTTTGCCAAGCTGTTTAAAGATTTCTGTTTTTTATTGACTCAAATTATCTGGGCAAAAAAATTAATCAAGAGTATTTCTTGAAGGCTTGAAATCAGCACGTGGCATTCATTTTTTTGTTTTACAAGTTTTCTGAAGCGCTCACGGAGGCAGTTTCAACATTGTAATGGTATTAGAAAGAGGTATATTGAATTTACACACATGAACATTGATCATAGCAAATCAATTACAGAAGGCAAGCAAAGTAGTCATTATTTATTTTTATAATAATAAAATAAAGAAACATTTGTTTAAAAGCAGTTCGTAGTAAATTGTTCTGTTTATTTTTCCTCATTTTGTACTGGATTTGCATAGACATACACCTACATTTTTAATTTGTGAATAATGGTTATTATTTTCTACTACGTATGCATTGCATGTGTATTGTTCGTGGAGAGGGCTCAATGCTGGCTTTTAATGTCAGCACACTCATCATGTACCCTCAAGCACGCACTTACACAACTATTATCTAAGTAAAATATTCCACAGTCTGTATATGATACTGAACTAGGTGCTAATGAATGAAATATTCTACCCATAGGGGCCAATATCAAAATACACCCCAAGGACAAATTGGGATTAGCCCCCCCCTTCCGCCTAGCTGGTGTGTCTGTACATAGGCCACGTGAAACAAGTCATTAATCTACCAATTCCAACCAACCTTAAAATGGCTCTGTTACCAGAAATGTTATTTGTATCACCATATGCATTGCTGCTTTTAGCAACACTTGTTTTGCAGAAAATTTCTTAAATATGGTTTTTAAAAAATCACATTTCTAAATGTTCAAATTCTTGTGCAGAAAGAATTCTGGCTCTGCAGGATGTTCTAATACCTGTGGTTTATGATGTGGGAGTTAATTAGCTCAACTGTAGGAATTTCAGCTTCTCATTGAAATATTCTGTAGCTTTTTATGTATTTATTTTGTCGTCAAATGGGAATTATGGTTAAACTTTCTATATTGTTTTAGCGGACTCACAGGAAAATCAAAACCGGGACAGAGCCACGTTTAGCAGACAGGAGTGCTCACAGTGTGAGGCAGTTTTCTTATGGATGGTATGCTGAAGTAACACCCATTAGCTTACATAATTGTGTTTGGTGCATTTTAGTAATATGTTCCACCATCAGTTTAATATACACATAACATTATTTTCCCACATGACAAACCTTTTATTTATGTTTCCTGCTTTTATGAGTTAGAAAAACTCAGACTTATCACAATTGTACAATAAAGCAAGAAGAGAGTTCGTATAAAGTAGAATTGCAACTTAGATACCTGCTTAGAACAGCTACAATAAAACACAGATATTTAAGATATAACTGGACATGGTTAAACTAATCTCTGGCCGGTTATAAAGCCCAACCATAATTAATAATCCAAAAAAAATTAAAGAAACAATTATAATTAATATATCTGATAAATTTAAATTATTTTACGTGTTTTAGTGATTTGCAAGTACCTGCACTTTTATGTAGGTTTTTGACGGCTAAAATCATTCCCCAGTAAACAGTGGGTTAATTTTGCAGTGTATTAAAAACAAATTCCATCCTTTGTATAATGTGCTGAACATTAAATACAAAATAAATATAGATTTTTAAAATCAACATTTACACTAAAATACTACAGCCCACAAATATCTTTCAAGGTTAATTTCTGAAATGGTATTAATGATCTAGAACCTAGGGATTATGGCTACATAATCTGCAGTTTCTAACTACATCACTAGAGGTAGCTGTTCACATTTAATTTAGGGCTACATGAATGTAGTGAAAATCCAGGAATAGTGCACTAAAGGCCTTCTGTATCACTCATTTGCGTCATCTTCTTGAATACAATTAAACAGAGTAGAGCATGGGTTTAATCTATTCTACACCATTCTATTCCGAGGGTAACAGACAAAATTATGAATTCTAGTTTGATAGTACAGAAGTCCTCATATCCATTTTTACCAAGCATGCTAGAAAAATGTTATCCGTATCACCACTCTCATTATATGTATAACAACACTAGTATGAGACAAATACATCCAATTTTAACAGCCTTGCCTTCTAAAGATGAAACAGATTCTAAGTACAACAATCTTCCAAAATACTTTTCTGTCTAGGTTTTACCCATGTTTTCCAGAGTTTATACCAGCAACCATGCTTACAGGGAAAACTCCAATAACAAAATATTTAATTTAAAAAAATAAAAATAAATTATATATTCAAGGTTCAATAAAGGGCACATAAAAGCAGGCACTAAAAACTCAATAGGGGTTATTCACAAAACAGCAATTTGACTTTCACAGAGCTAGTTTAGTTGATTGTTTTTCCCAAATCAGCACTTTTTGACTACATTTCTCAATTCAGTTTTCAATTCACTACACTTAGTTTTTTTGGGATTAAAACCCAGTGTAATAAATATTAGACAAGGGTGAACATTTCTTAAAATATAAGAAAAACCCACATGATCATAGTACTCTGCCATTTGTTTGAACTAATGCAGCCTATAATTTTGTGTTGTAAGAAACGCTCACCCATAAATAAACAGTATGCTTTCAAAAATATATAAAATACCTTAAATGAATTTAGTCTTCATTATTATGCAATTACATTTTTTAAAATAACTTTTTCCTTCTTTAATGCTATTTACCTTTTTAAAGTGAACCTGTCATGGTACACACAGGTTAGGCTCAATTTAAAGGTACACTCTGGACTACGAACGTACCGTAGATTGCTGAAGTGTTTTATGTATGAAGAGTGTGTCCTCTCTTTTATTTACAAACAGTGCAGATTTCAATATAAATAAACGTTCATATGCCTCCCTGGCTATCAGTCAGACAACTGATCCTGTTACTTCCTGATTGTTTAACTCAGTGATGCAAAACTCAAGAGGCAGCTATTGCCTAGAGCACCTACCTAGCAAGACTTCTCATTGAGTTACAGTGGAAAGTCTGTGATTGGACAGCCACAGAAAGTCTTGGCAGGGGAAGAAGAGGAGGGCTTGCAAAGACAGTAGACAAGATATCTGCAGCTTTTGCAAGCTGTTTTTTTGATATACCCCCAATGAAAATGCATGCATGTTTTCATTTTGGGTAAGTATACTAAACATTCTAGCAAATGTATATATTTTAATGTAGAGCTCTTTAAAAAAATGTTCCCTCCATTACCTTTTTCTCAAATCCTCAGCATTAGACCGGTATGCCAGCAGTACACAGGGTCTAATGCTGTAGACTAAAAAGGAGAGTAACATGACCATTCTCCAGGTAATTTTTCATATGTTCCGACACTGAAGCCAGATTTCAGCATATATAGATGGTTGTGTTGGGGAAGTGTCTCCAAGCAGGGTCAATCTCAGCAGACCCTGGTGGAAACAGAGGATGGCTGTTACAACACTAACACCCATGGATCCTCTGAGACGGCAGCACAGGAGCAAGGAGTGGCAGGTAAGAAATTATATAGCATCTCCCAAAAGCTCATAAATATATGATTTATCACTATGACAAATCTTGTTTAGTTTCTTTGGAGCTTGTCAAGTGAGACAGTCATGGCAGGTTCACTTTAAGAAGCAAATTATACATCATCCAGCAGCAGTCACAAGTGCAGGAGTGGGCTTTCAGCATCTGAAATGAAGCATCTCTCATAGCAGGAAAATGATAAAGTAGTGCAGCTAGTCTGAATACTACAATGATCTCAATGTGTCAGCAATGAGTGACAGTTGTGGACATGTAACACTTGACTATCAGTGGTGAATCACCTGGGTCCCAGGAATGAAACAGCAAATTGCTTGTTATCTGCAAATTTTGTAGGGGACAAGGCCATATTTTGATCTTTATACATTTAATCTATAAATTGTGCTAATAAAATAACAGAAACTGTATACATTTAAAATATACATCCTGTACATCATTTTCTCCTCCTCAGGATCACTGCCAGATAGATAAAAGGCAGAAATAAGAACAGTTCTCCAAACTATGTGTATTTTTAATGCTGCAGTCACTTAGAGGTCACTACATGAGCTATGGAATCCATCATTGTACTCTTTACTAAGATGGTATAATGGTAATGCAGATGAACATAGAAAAAATAATATGAGAACTATACATTAGATGGAGATTGAGCTAGCAAAATGTATAGAGATTCCCACTCCCCTCCCCCCTCCCCCCTTAAAAGTGACACCAACAGGGTTAATAACTAAAGTGCGAATTCATTTTAATTTCAAAGTTAATTTCAAATTTAAGGCCAGGGTAGCTGAACTGGGAGCGTAGCTGACTTAGGGAATGTTTCCAGTTTGGTTATTTTGACCTTAAATTTACTTTGAATTCTTACTTTAGAGAATAGACCTGCATATCAGAATAGCTGATTACAAGGTCACTTTTGAAATTACCAGAAAATGTATTTTAAGAAAAAAAAACAGGCTGGAGTCACGGAGCCGGGCATAGTGCTGGACTCTATATTGTGGCCCACGAGAGGCGTCGGATGACCAAGCCTGGACAATTACTTGAACCATCGTCTAGTTTCACGATCAAGCCTATACTTGTGACCACAGTCATATGCCCTTTGTCCCTTCTAACCCTGCTTATTACCCAGTGGTAATTTTCTCTGAGAATCTACAGTTTATGCCAGATTTTATTTTAACCTTGCATCTCATACTATGCCTTTTCCTGCAATGTACTACTCAGGTCTTCCAGTGCTTAGATTGAGCCTGTCCAAATAGATTAGCTCAACATAACTTGCTGTGTATTCTTTAACTTCAGAAAATGTCTTTATACAGCACAGGCTAGGATCTGACATCTTGCTTAATAGTGCATACAGGAACAGTGTTCATCTTATTTTTTCTGTTTTATTGATTTTAATTTTACAAAAGTGCGACAATCCTGACAAGCTATCTATTGTCTTCATAAACTCATCTTGTTCTCCTTGCATGCTAACTAAAACAACAAAAGGTGCAGTAAAAATGCATATGACCAGTGGTAACTCTATCTAACTAGACTAACTTTTCTTCTTTTCTGATTGTAATAGTCGCATTAGGCATAATTCCCTCCTGTTCACTCTCACAATCCGTAACTAACCCTCATGACCTATGCATAATCGGTGTAGCGCGAGTTGTACCCCATAATATACCTAAGCATACCATAGTTACCTACTGTGGTCTACTCATGCATATCCAGCATGCAGATCCTGCCCTTTCTGTTGTGACTTTGTTTCCACATGCATTTTTTACTTTTATTTTTTACTCTTAACAAAAAAATGTGCAGTCAATCTTGACATGTACCGAACTTCAAATTGACTCACCAATGTTCATTATTTCTCTATATGTCAACGCATATCTATGTTCGCACCACTGCACTACAAAATAAAGATTTATTTAAAAAAAAGAACAAAAAACAGGTGTATTTATTTTGACTGCTTCCTTCTTCACCTTCAAAATGGTCACCGGAAGGAATGGAGTTTAAATGCGGATGCGTGTTCATACAATGTCCACAGCATTCCACAACTTAGAGTGCTAGGTATTATGGGATGTTGCTGCCTTACCTTTAGATTGGGATGCCATATTGTATAAATCATTAATATCAGCTAACAAGCATACAGTAAATATAAACTGCAATTACATTTAACTATATGTTTGCTCATAGCATGGCTAGCACAACATATAGATAGAACATTATTGTTTATGAAGTGACACCTTTTTTCATGACCTGCGCATTTTAAAAACTGCATGCTATTTTCCCATAATTTTGGTTGAATAGTAAAAACTGTAGAAAATGTTTTTTTAACATTTAGTGAAACTAAAATTATTATTATACATTATTTTTATTTTTTTAATTAAAAGGGTATCAATATTTGCACAAGCTGCCTTGGGGTAACTGAAAGCAGGGATCGCAAACTTTGCCCCCCGCCCACGGATGTTCATGGCCTACAACCCCTGAACACCTTGGACCCAATAGATGGCAGGAGAATCATGGGAGTTTTAGTTCAGCAACATTTGTTGGGCAGGAGTTTGAGAAGCATGCTTTAAAGGTGACCTTCAAAATCAGTACCCACCAAAAGAAAAATGGAAGGAAGTTTGGAGTTTGCAATATAAACCCATAGTTAGTTTAGATGGCACTTGTTTTACTTTCCCAGCACTGACCTCTGAAAAAAAATTGTACTAATATCATAGTCTTGTCTGAAAACATGGTGAAAACACTTCAAACTGCCGAGAGGATCCACACTCTCCTGTTGTAACCTTTTGGCTTCCATAAATTTACTTTGAGGAACCTCACACTGGGAGTGAAGATGCTGCTAATTTGTAAATCCTTCTTCAAGGACGACAACCTCATGTAGCATTTTAAATATATTATTATTAAAGATCTCAGCTCTTCCATTCCAGATCATGCTCCTCTCAATTATAGTGTTAAAAATAACAATGTATTCAGTGATAGATTTAGGCTTTCAAATGAAACCCAGGCAACATCATGTTATTTGTGTGTGCATAATTGGACATAACTGCATGGGTGGTGTGTTTATGACTTGAGATATTTATATATCTATTTTTGTTTTTATATAATCTATTTATCTGTGTGCTTTGTCAGTGTGTTTGTGTGCCGAATGGGTAACGCATTATTATGTGTAGGTGCAGATGTCTAGATCATTGCACTGGTGATTGCTGAAGTCAAACAGGATTGCGTATGAGAACCTGGTCTGCACACTTATATTGATCCTGAGCTCAGGGGTGGACAATATGGGTGCAAGATATATGTACCAGTGATGGCATTCCTATGTCACCAGAAATACAGTACAATAGCTGAATCATCAGGGGTAACAACTGGCAAAGCAGCTTCACATTGCAGCCACCTTTCTCAGGTGTTTACCCAGGGTTCTACAATCCCTTTGACAGAAGCGACAGTTGACTGTTGTCTCTCAAACAGAAGTAAATGAAGAACTATACAAAATATAAAATAACACAAAGATTGTAAGCTTTGTGGGGCTCATTTTACAAATAACAGAGCATTACATTTCTTCTTTCTGCAGTCTGCTCCAAATTTTCCAGTATTATTTACCAGGACATGTCTGCATTAAATACTGGAAAGCTACTAGGGGCACCTGTTACAATTATCCTGCTATCCTAAAACTTTAAACTATGGTAAGAGGGGGACAGTGTAGATTGAGGTCTGTGCCATAATATGCCAAATAAATCTTCATACCAACAGTGTAGGATAGGGGGCAATACACAGGGCCCCACTAAACAGGTGGTGCTTGGCTTCTTTGATTTGATCCACACATAAAAGGGGTGAGGGAAGAGAGGGAGCAACAGTGGCTTCAATCAGGTGATTTGGGGGACTCTCAGCAAATTTGTTTTAACTATTTATTTGCAGCAGTGACATTTCAATAGTTAAAAGAAAACCTAGGGATTTAGAAGTGTGTTATGCTTCTCGCAGAGAAAGTGAGAGCTAGTGCTACATGCAGGGCCAGTGCAAGACTATTTTGCGCCCTAGGCAAATCCAAGTATTTGCACCCCACCCAAAAGAAAGAAAGATGCCAAGCTTTGTGTGTTTCTTTCTTCCCCCAGCCCCTTTGTATGTCTCTCCCCCTCAGCCTCTTTGTGTGTCTCATCATCCCCCTATCCCTCTGTGTGTCTCTTTGTTTCCCCAGCCCCTCTGTGTGTATCTTCCCTACAAGCACCTTTGTGTGTCTAATTGTCCACCATCCCTCTGTCTTTCTTCACCCAGCCTCTCTGTGTCTCTTCCCTACAAGCACCTTTGTGTGTCTCTTTCTTTAAACCAAGCCACCCTTTGTGTCTCATTGTCCCCCTTCGCTCTGTGTCTCTTTGCTCCCCTAGCCCCTCTGAGCGTGTCTTTTCCTACTTCCTCAGACCCTCTGTGTGTCTCTTTGTGCCCCCAAAGCCCCTTTGTGTTTCTCTTTTCCGCCAAGCCCTTTTGTGGGTCTGTTTCTCCCCATGCCCCTTGGTGTGTCTCTTCCATTCTGTCCCTTTGTTTGTTTCTTTGTCCACCCCCTCCCCTTTATAGTTTCTCCCTGCCTACGCCTGCTGCTCACCTCCCTCCATGAAGCATTGCTGAGCCACAGACTGCAGTAGAGGATCTTGTTTCCTCTTCCTGGTCTGACAGGAAGCTGTTTGCTGCTACCAGTAAGCATCTTCCTGTTATACAGGGCAAAGGATGCAGACATGCTACATGAAGTGACCGGCAAAAAGGGGAGCTCTTTGCACTGAGCTCCCTCTTGCAGGTCACCCAGCAACTGCGCCATGCAGGTCAGTGCACCCTACACAAATGCCTAATTCGCCTAGTGGTCACACAGGGCCTGGTTACATGAGTCATATGGCAGTTTCTGCAGCATAGTGCAGGCTTGGGCATCTAATAAGAGTCAGGTAGTTCTTGTTGTGATATTCATTTTGTTTTCTAGTTAGTGCATGCCTCCATGTTTAGGATTCCATCTTATCTTATCTTATTTTGAGTCAGTTGTATTGTGGGTTCATTAGACTTTGCAGTGGAAACAGCATAGCACAGCAGATAATAACATTTCATGGGAAACATTTATAAAGGCAAACTGAGTGTTATTTTGAGTGCAAATGAAGAGCAATGAAATTCTGCACATACAGAGTTTATCCCCTCTGCTGCTAGAGGTGTAACGCTACCTCTGGGTATATCATTGGGGCATTAATAGCTAGCCTGGAACAAGAGCTTCAGGTGACTAATATTAATTCTGTGTGTTTAGCAATGACGACATGGCCTCCCCCTCTTTGCCGCTCTCCCTGGAATCCGTTCATTTCAAGTGAGGAGTGACGTGAAGAAGGGAGGAACAGGAAGCAGGGAAAACTTTGGGAGGGGCACCAGTATAGAAAGGGTTACTCTGACCAAAAACTGAAGGTAACCGAAGCCACGAACATGAAGTTGTTGGAGCTCAGAGGGGCAGTGACTGACAGATGTAACTGGCATGCTATGGTCCATAAGGTCACGCAGAGTCGGACACGACTGAACAACTAAACAACAACCCTTTAAGAAACATTCTATTGGTTTTCATGGTGATTGTTATTTATTTAGCTCTTATGACCCAGAATAGCACCTTTGTTTGCCTTGATAAATGTCCCACCATATTGGTTGTTTTGTATATGTCAAAATTCACTGAATGACATTCACAACCATTTTGTTAGTATGGTTGCCACACCTATTGGTTAAATAACAGCTCTAGTCTTCAGTTTAAGGAACTTGTATATGGTAGAACGTGGCATGAACAGTTCAACACCAACGGAGCATGAGTTAAAGAGGATATGCAGACAAAGAACAGACGGTTAGTGTTAATTTGGCAACTACACTTATGTACCTTGTTTGGTGTAAATTTTTTACTTATATGTAGTGGGTCATTAAATCCTTTGTGTGTCATTAGATGTAGTATGTCTGGCACTCCAAGTATGAAATGGGTATCCAATAGGTGACTGAGAAAAGGAAAACCACACAGAATCTCCCAGGGCCCATTTTATTGCCCTTCCTTTTGGTAGAGAAGTGACTAACAGACGCACATAATATGCTTGATATATCAAAATAAAAGTAGCCCTGCTAATGTTGAAGTGACTTTATTTGTAACATTTCAACAATGGATCTATGTATGAAACATAGCTTGGCAAAATTACTTGAATTATGCTGAAAATGTAATTATAATGCAAAGCTGAAGTTGTAGATGCAGTAGGGTTTAATACATAGGCAAATAGTGGAAATGCCACTAACAAGGTCACTTTAACATTTGTGGGACCACGTACCCTGTAACAAGCAGTGGAAGTGTGAGATCAAAACAAGAGCAAGATTCTTCTCTCAGCAAAACGCAACAATTGTCCTTCCACCTAAGAGGTCGAATATTTGGCTGCAATCGTGCCAATCCAACATTCCTTTCATGAAGGTTCTAAGACACTGGTCAGATCTGTATCAAAGCCAAAAAAGAATAAATGAGAACTATGTGATTCTGAAGTCCAAATTAATTTGTCCGAGTCCAAGTCAGACTACATGAGTCTCTTTAATGCCACTTAACCTAGAGGGCAGATGCTGTGCTATTATAGAATTTGTTCACCGGTAATGGTTTTATAAAGGTCACACTTTTCAACCAGTGAAACATTCCTTTGATACTTCACAGAACCGAATAACTCCCCCAAAGGAAGTGCAATTAACTGTGTATCCTGTGTTCATTAACTGGAAGAATTCCCACACAGCCACCCAACCAATTTATTGAAGGTGACATCCAAATTCAGATCTCTCAATGTACAAAGTAGATCCTCACATGACTGAGCAGCGGTTGCGTCGCAGAGCCCCCTGGAAGCGTATTGCAGCATGGACATGTTTACAACGTGCACAGCCCACACTTTTGAGCAGTTCACTGAACAGTAGGAGTATGTGCCAGTTATACTTTGCAGAGCACTCAATGTAACCACATTTCCAGGTCTTTTTCACCAAATGTGACACATTCCATCGTGGGATGACACGCCCTTTCTGCAGATCGCGCTTGTTACCAACAATGATAATGGGGGTCTCAGAAGTTCCAATAACTCTGCAACAAAGACAAAAAAATTAATGAATGTGAATGAGCTAAATGTCCGTCAGATGAAGATGGATAGTTTCAGCCACATGTGGACAAACTTGGCACTGACAAACTATAGACCAAGCAGATCTGTGATTGATCAGCGTTCAACCACATTTTGGCCCAAAAAGAACAAACAATTTAAAATTTTTGTTGCTTCTCAATACGGTGTTCTAAAAAAGTATAGTTATTTAGTGGCATAAAAGAACAGAGTCCACCATCGATCGCATATATGAAATAAAGACTGACTGCAATTTTTCATCAATGTACACTTTAAATAATCAATGAATGAATAGCTTCTAAGTAATACTAAAATGCATCGATCAGTTTGGCTGCACAAAAGTGTACTGGGAGCCATCTCCTCATCTTCTGCGCCACTATCCAAAGACCTTCAATGGCTCCCTAACCCATTAGGAATACTATTCAAACAACTAAACCACACTCTACATATTAGATATTTCTTTCAATTTAGATTTTTGTATTCCACTACCACTAGTCGGCCTTTTCACTCTTCTCACTATATAAGATTGAGGTTTTTTTCTGTCTCATTCTCATTTACATTGTAAGCTTGCTGACATGGCTTCCAGAATGTACTATATTGGGTTGCTTCTGTTTGCTACAATACATTTTGTTGGGTGAACACAACCGTAGGTTCTCAGCCTATCACTGCTGTCTAGGTTGGATGGATTCCTAGTTAAAATGTAGAAATGTAATTTCCATATTCTCAGTGAGGCTGCAGAGAGACCGAGATATGGGTACAGACGAGGACCTCGGTTTTATTTCAAACCACTCCAATGCAGCTTTATGGAGCTCCAGGGATGATGGTTATATACTTACAGCTGTATGCAAAGGTTTGGGCACCACTAACCTAATAAAATATTTAACATATATATATATAAAATAAGTGATAGTTTTTTCAAAGTGAAAAGTACTCCATGCAATGGCTGCACTAAGCAATCATAAACTAGACATATTTCAACAAAATGTAATGTAAAGCTAATTATTTGCCGACACAATTTTCATAAGTTTAGGCAGTCTTTTAGCTATTTCACTATATTGATTTTCTTTGTTTCAGCACCTTAAAGGAACACTATAGTCACCTATATTACTTTAGCTAATTAAAGCAGTTTTAGTGTATAGATAATTCCCCTGCAATTTCAATGCCCAATTCACTGTCATTTAGGAGTTTAATCACTTTGTTTCTGTTTATGCAGCCTTAGCCACACCTCCCCTGGCTATGATTGACAGAGCCTGCATGAAAAATAAAAACTGGTTTCACTTTCAAACAGATGTAATTTACCTTAAATAATTGTATCTCAATCTCTAAATTGAACTTTAATCACATACAGGAGGCTCTTGCAGGGTCTAGCAAGCTATTAACATAGCAGGGGATAAGAAAATCTTAATTAAACAGAACTTGCAATAAAGAAAGCCTAAATAGGGCTCTCTTTACAGGAAGTGTTTATGGAAGGCTGTGCAAGTCACATGCAGGGAGGTGTGACTAGGGTTCATAAACAAAGGGATTTAACTCCCAAATGGCAGAGGATTGAGCAGTGAGGCTGCAGGGGCATGTTCTATACACCAAAACTGCTTCATTAAGCTAAAGTTGTTCAGGTGACTATAGTGTCCCTTTAATGGCTTATATTGACTTGTTCAATTATGATCATGGTCCAGTGGTGACAATTTAAGAAATGAATACGTTCTCTGACTATTGGATTCTCTCATGTTGTTGTGCATGCACTCTTGGGCCTTTCTAAGCAGATGACTGAGGGTCAAAAATAATAATAATTGTGTCTTACAAACTAGGGAAAGGTTATAAACGGCTATCCAACATGTCTTGCTTGCAGTTGATACAAAATATCAGCAAAACCTGGAAATTACAGCTATTAAAAAAAATAAAGTTGCATTGGGATTAGATATCAATAGACATCCAAAACTTGTCTCAAGATCAACAATGTACTCTGTCAAGAAATTAATGGGACATTATAGTCATCAAAAGAACTTTAGCTTAATGAAGCAGTTTTGGTGTATAGATCATTCTCCTGCCGTTTCACTGCTCAATTCTCTGCTATGTAGGAGTTAAATCACTTTGTTTATGCAGCTCTAATAACACCTCCCTACATGTGACTCATATGAATTGAGAGAAAAGATTGCTTGCTCACGATTATTCTATGCAGGATTTGTCAAGGACCTTCAGTGTCACCCTTATATTGATATAGAGGTCAATCAAATACTGGTAAATCAGTGTCTTCTGTGACACATTAATGTGAATATACTGTTAATAGAGGTTCTCCAGTATTTGTC